CAACTGTTTTACAATTTTGAAATTCATTTTTCATTTAATTCGATTCCCGTATTTACTCTGTTTACTCACCTGTTTAAAAATGTCAATGTTGCAGAAACATCCGCCAATCGCATTTCCATCAACATTTAATGCAACACAATTACTTTTAATTATTTTATTATGTAAACATTTTGGTAGACCAGTCCGCTGGGGGGCCACTGCAGTGGGAAACTCATTTAATTGATATAAACATTGTAGTTTAATTGCCTCAAATGGCAAATGAACCGGTAACCGGTTGACTTTATTACCAAACAGTTTGGCGTGACGGTTTTTTATTTATTTCATGTTTTTCGGTTCGATTGGTGGGAGTTTTTTAATTAAAATTCAATCAGAGAGACGAGTTCGAAAAGGAGGCGAATGAAAACCGAATAAACTGAAAGCCTGATTGTGGTTTGTACTCAGTTGATTATAGGTTTTTTTTGTACACTGGGTGGGATATTAAATTAGTATAACTAAAGGAATGTGGCCTGGTATATATGGTATGCATGCATTTGGCAAAATCGTGCGTCATTTTGAGCATTAAAATTAATCCATGGACACGCAAGGATAATCGCTGGGATGACACGATTTTTTATGGCTACCTGGTGGCCATGGTGTGTGTGTAGCTATGCCTGGGATTTTGAGATGCCAACGCGTGACTAAGAGCTACACCAAAAACGAGAACAGGTTACGGGCTATGGAGGTTACGTATACGCCACCGTGACCACCACAGCGACCCACAACCACCTCTGTATTGTGCTTTTTTGTGGTAAATTGACTGCAGTTGCCGCAAATTTCAATTTTCAACGCCATAATTGGCCATCTAATTATAGTTTTAAAATGTACCAGCACACGAGGTCTGCCCAGGGCATTAAAAATAATCGCTGTTTTTGTGAATAATATCCTTGGCAGGAAGCACTTGAGTCCTTAGCTCTTGAAATGCTAATCATAGCAATGTCCTTTTCTAGAAATTCGTGCAACTTTGTTTCTTATTTGAAAAAAAAAGGAGAATGAAATTGAAAAATGTGCGTGTGTGTCCGTGTGAGAAAGTGGCAAGTGTGAAAGCAGAGTTGCCACCAAAAAGAGGGGTCACCCGTCGCCGACGACGTCACGCATGTCCTTGCACGGAAATGTGAAAACTTTTTGCAGATTTCACCTCTCCTTTCCGTTAGTCTGTTGGATTTTTCTTTATTTTTTTTTTTGTGCAAACAAAGGTTGTGCATAAACTAATTAACTTTCCTATTTGCCGAATGTAAGGGGATGGTTTGTGTTCGTACGGAAATTATTATTTGGCCGGAGTAATGGTATTAGAATTTGCTGTTCGAGATCTGACTATGAAAAGGGCATTTTAAATTTAAAAATAAAATGGGAAAATAGAGTACTACCCACCATTATTATCTGCTATTATTGCTCCCCCAGCTTGCAATTAGCATCGTAGAAAAAATAAATATTTTTTCACAAATTGCCGCCAGTATTTGGCAGCCAAAAAAAATGAAAGTTTTCATGGGAAAATCGATAGATGACCCCGCCAAATACTGCGGCCAAATAAAATGGTGGATAAACAAGTTCAAACAGTTACAAAGCCAATTTAGTTGGCCCCCACTGAGCCATCGGCTATATGGTGGGCTTGATTGAGCCATGTCCGTTGGCCATATCCGCATATCCGAATGCTCCATCGAGGATTTTAATCATGCACGTATTTTGAAGCTTTTCCGCTTTTCCAACCACGAGCGCCATAAATATCCATCAATATCTGAGTAAGGGACTACGGCCCCAACTCCCCACTCCACTCCACCCGCACAAAAAAAACGAACTATGAACTCTGCCCCAGGGTGGCCGAGCTGCTGGCAACAACAAAATGCGATTTAATTTGTTTACATAGAGCCATTCGGTTCGTTAATTGCGTAATGGCTGTATAGATTTAATCAAATTTCAATGTATTGTTCAATTTTCCTAGTTGGAATTAAATAATAAAAGGATTTATGAATTGATTCTAATTTCAATAACGATTTGAGGCAATTATCACCACGAGAGAGGTGTTTTTTCTTCAGATTTGAAATTAATTGAAATGAAACTAAAAATTTAAAGCTACATATTTGTAAGAAAGTTGCTTTTAAAGCCTCTTTGGGTTATTTATGAGAAGAGTCTCCCCCTAGATGCTCTACTTTACCAACAACTCTGTTATTCCTTTTTTGTCTATCTCAGTCTGGCTTAAAACTTAACCCCTTTTCGGCGCCCTCTCAGCTCAAACAGCCAGAGGGCTAAGCCAACACAACAAAAAATATAAAAACAAACAGCAAATGTTGAAAAACAAGTGCAGGGAAATAGAAAACTTACAAAAAAAGTGTTAACAAGCAGGATATAAATTATTAATTAAGGCGCTCTCCGTGCAATTAGCTTTATTAAATGAATTGCAACAGCCTTTGCTTTTGCCTTTGGCCTTATAAATTTATAGTCCTGGCATCTGACATAAATTTCATTTATACTCGTATCTGTGTGAACTGCTGTTTTAGTAGAGGACTAATTATTAAATCAATATATGCCTATAAATATTGCAAAGAGCACTCCGGCACAGGGAGAAGATATACACACAGATATATGAATGGCATTGGAATGCCTCCTTCAATCGGCTCAATTAGTAGAACTAAAACAAAAGTTTAAGTTCCCACACAAAACAGACCTATAATTACCAAGCCCTGTAATTGCCTTCCAGTACTTCAGACCTGATTTTAACCATAAACCTTAAATATTCGTTTATTTTATTTATTTAAGTAGTAGAATACAGTTCCCTTATTTCCCAGGAAAATAAATGAGCTGGCATTTCAGGTGAAAAGCTATCAGGTCAGCCTAAATCTTAAGCCTCGATTGGGGGCGAGCCCGTGTGGCAACTTCTGCTGGGGTAAGCCCTTTGCTATCTTTATACAATTATAACGAAAGCGCGACCTTTACACACATGTCTTTCAGTCTATAGTGCCTAGTAGTCCTAGTATCTGGTAAAACTTGGGCACTAAAATGCGTGCGTGCCTAGGTATTTCCTTTTTTTTTATTTTATCGATTTGCATATCTAAATTTAGTCAGGCGACATATAATGCCAGGCCACAGACAGAGTATATGCTAGCATGCATACGCCTAACCCATACCTATGTATATTTATTATATGGTCTGCTAAAATGTGAGGAGCCCTGGGGCCCCAAACACACGCTCTAATAAATATTGCATTGTGATACCCGGAATGGCGTCCTTTGAGTTCGAGTTTGAGGAGTCCTGGCTACCGTAATTAAACTTGTGCCACCATCTGCCTCTATGCCTTGGGGCTGCAATTAAATTTTGGTGTTGGATGTGCCATATATAGGTAACACTTGGAGAATGGGGAACTAAATCAGTTAGAAAGAGTAACATGTTTCAGTACTTAATAGCTATAGTTTTAGTGTTTAAGAATCCGGAAAAGTTATACATAAACTACCATAAGATATTGGGGTAAATAGAAGAAATATATTTCTAATTAGTCTTACAAATGATTGCAGGAATATATTTAAGTTATCTTAACAAACCTTAAGGCATAAAATTATAATAACTTAAAAAAATGCAGAAAAAAATAAAATATTCTTAGTGAAAGTGTAACCACGACCTCAGATTGGCCGGCAAATGCCTTGGTCACCTTGAACCGCCGCCTAAGGGAGACACGAGAAAGGACACGGCAGGATAAGGGCCTTGGGAAGAGACAGGCCGAGTCGGAAGGAGGCAGGACGCGGCAGGACCCATGATAAATGAGCTGCGTTAACTCATGTGGCAAATGTGACATGTGCTCCGGCATTTTTATTCATTGTGCACCTGAGTTTGTGTGTTGTGCTGATTGCCGAGTGTATGCCTGTGTGAGAGACCATGAAGGTAGAAGCGCTAAAATTACCATATTGGCCCCAACGAGCCCGACAAGCCCAACAAGCCCTCGCCCCAGTTGTCTTGGCTCGGATCAACTCCAGCCATTCAAGCGCATATACTGCGCTGCCCGGTCCCAGGACCCGAAGGCTAATAGGTCAGTTTAGTTGGCCGTAGCATGGGAATTATGGTTAATTTTGGCTGCCACATGGCGGAAGTTATTAACTCGTTTGATTGAAGTTGGCCGTAAGTGATTTAGTGGCTGGCTGTGGCCAGAGTTGACCGCTTAAGGGTCGTAAATAAACGAGGCGAATTTTAATTTTGTATGCTTGGGGCTATAAACAGGATATTGCTATCGTTATTTTGGGCAGCAATGACCAATAATGTCCTAATGAAATCAAAGCAATTAAGAAGGCACTCAAGACGATCGGGAAGCTTAATTAATTTCTGGACATTCACTTATTTAATGAACTAGAATCTGCAGTGTCCTGCAAGGAAATCTATGATGTGCCAGTGGATTTTTTCAGATTTTTCATTAGTGCCTCCTTTTGTTTGGCCGAAACTAGACAATAATGGTCCAGAGAGTTGCGCGACTGTCAAATATTTGAACAGGGAGAGCCCAAGACGCACAAGTCTCGGCTCCAGTTCATGGCGCTGAAAAGTATGCAGCAGACAAAAGCTCATTAAGGACTCAGACAGAAGCGCCACTCGACACAGCCCACAACCAGCCACTCCTGTCATGGTATCCTTGTTGTCATCGTCATCTGCACTCGCCCTCGCCCTCGCCATCGCACTCACTCCGAGCTAAGTGATTTCCATCATTTGCGCCAGAGGCACATGCTGGGGAATACCAACAAGGACATCAGCAACCAGTCGAGCCTAATCTCCTTCTCCATGCCTTGCCTGGTTCTTTGTCATATGTTCAATTTCGTCTAAAAGCCGTCGTTGCTCTGTTGTCTGTTGCTTGTTGTTCAGGGATCTGGGATCTGGACAATAGGGAATTAACCCCCATTTCCTCGCAAAAAGAAAAATAATTTAAGCCATCTTGGAGTGTGCGTTGACATTTGCTTAATAATTGGTTTCCCTAATTGGTTTATCCTTTGCAGTTGGCACTTGGCGGGCCCGCTTATGCAGATACACAGCGCCAAAGGATTCAATTGAACTGGCTGCGGAGTTAAATTTGGTGAGTGAACAACTATTTCCTTCCATCAGGACACAATGGCAGGACCACTTACGCCTGGCAAAGCCTGAGCGATTCAAACAGATATTTGAATGCATTCACTGGCCGAGAGTCCTTACAGAGCTTACCACAAGTTGGAAATATATAAAGAATAAAATCTGAGCTATGAAAAATGCAAGGACCTAAAGGACACTGCAAAAAAATTATAGAAAAGGTTAAGAAAATATTGTCCTTTGTTTAGTCCCTACTTTCAAATATTTTCCTTGACTTTGGCACTAGGATTTAGTTTATTGTAATCTCTTCAAGATTTCCTTACTTTTCTCTTTTTTTTTTTCAGTGCAGATTTGTGCATATGTATTTGTAAAGGTGCGGGCTGAGGTCTTGGAAAACTTTTGTGTGTTTAATTTCCGGTTGCTTTAATACAAGTTCACCCGGGCATGCTGTCGTGGCTTGGCTGGGCGAGCCTGATGGACTTGTAAGCTCCCAAGGAGCTGCGTGTCCTGGGCGCCGCCTTGTCCTTGCGGCTTATGACCCGCAGATTTGTGGTCTAAGGCAAAATATTTATATAGAAATTAAATAGCCTCAAAGCCTGGCATTACCTTAGGCAAGAGTCAGTCAAGTGCAGTAGTACTGATCGGTTGCGAGGACTTGGGAGGCTTAAATTTAAATAATTACCTTGATTTTTAATTTACTTAAGTATTTATGTTTTTATACAACAATAATCCTACACTTTCATTTCCTACCGATCTTAGTTCTAGCTGCTAGAAAGTTAAGAATTTTAAAGTAAAATTGTCGAAAATCCTTAATATTTCACAGAGATCCCCCCAATAGCTCCCTTTTCAAAATAAATCGAAAAACCCCATTAAAAGATTTCTTTAAAACGTATGTTTATGTAACTGTCACCCAAATGTGAACTCAAAGGATATATAGATCCTGCGTGTTGCTAAATGGAGGGGAAGTTGGCTTTTATGGAATCTTCTCTGTCGCTGCGGTGCTCCCCTTTTTTTTATGGCTTACCTGAGCTTAGCTTATGTGCAGATGTTGGGGTTATATCAGCACGTATACATGGGTATATCGGGTTCTATATAAGCAGGGCACATTGTTAGGACAAACGGCCCTTGAGATATATAAATAAACTGCCTCAAGATTAGTTTAAATGGTTGGCGACGTGCCTTTGCCCTCGTTCTGCAGTTGCAGCTGCCGCTGGTGGAGCTGCAGCTGGTGGCACTGCATCCTGCGACGTGGGGTGACATCCCTCCAAAGTCCTGTGAGTGCCAGTGTGTGACCGTGTGCATGTGTGTGGATGTAAAGTGGCGCTTATTCTAACAGTAAGAGAGAGAAACCAACACAAAAAGCTCTTTGGCACTCGTCATGGGTGGTGGCTGTGAGGGGAGGGTGTGTAGGGGACCAATGTGACCCCCCAGCAAGTAACCCCCACCCCCAGCCCCAGCCCCAGACCCCACCCCACTCAACACGCCCATTATGCTCATTATGTGCTTTGGTACTTGGCTCGTTTTTGTCTTTACTCTTGCCAGTGTTTTCTCCTCGTGTTTGTTTGTTTGTTTATCTTGTTTATTTGCTTTTGTGCCAAATTATTTGTCGTTGCTGGTTCGCTGTTCTTATGCTACTTGTTATTTGAATGCTTATTGCTTTTTCCTGTTTCTGGTTCTATATCGTCTTCGAGGGAGACCCAAGAATTTGGATTGTCCAGATTTTGGATGAGAAAACATCCAAATAGGATTTATTTTAATGGAGATAAGGGAAAGAGAGCAAGTTAGGTCTATAAAATAAAAAGAGACAGCTAGAAATATTATATCCGGTACTTACAAGGTTACCTACATTTTCCCCTTTTTTTAATACTATGTTATAAACATATAAAATCTCCATAAAACTTCAAGAACCAATTTAACTTAAAACATTAAGAGGAAAAATCCGAGAATGTCCGTCAAGCCTTAACCCAATCTTTCAGTAAGCTGTCTGCCCTCCATCCTGGGGCTCTGAGTTCCAGAACACCAGAGTTCCAGAAAGCAAAAATAAAAATAAATAAATAAACGAGAGCGGGGAGCAGCAGATTAAATGACAGACAGCTCACAGCTCCCCAAGCGAAACTGGAGCAGAGAACGCCACCCAGCCAGCCAGCCACTTCGAGAGAAATGTCCAAAAAATGTCAATTTATTATAGTGAAATCAGCGCAGGACACACACAGGACCCAGGCAGGACACACGCAGGGAGAACGCGTGACCAGTGGCATAAAGCCCACCCAAAAATATCCTGGCCCCATGGCCCTCCTCCCTTTGTCAACTGTGTCATATGTATAAATACTTTTTAATCTGAATTATTACGGTCGGGAAGTTTTTTCTTTGCTTGATTATAATTTATTCACATAAATTTCCATGATGCATGGCATTTAAGTGGCTCTGACAGGACCAAGAGCATTCGAACTCTTCCCTTAGATGATTTTAGGCCGGCTCTCGGCCCTCGGCACTCGAAAACAGCAAATCCTGTCAAAGCCCTTTTGCCAAGCAGGATGAAATGCAAACAAAAAGCATTTAACTGAAAAGGACGCAGCCTCGAAAAGTTCGATCCGAAAATGGGATCAAGGGGACTGCTCGTTTCGATTGTTTAATTACTTAAATAATCAATAAGTGGACAGCGGTTTCAATAAATATTTATAGATGTTAGTTAAATAAATGATGTAACTAATTGATATACTAATACTAATTGATTAAAGATTTAAATGTTTTGTCCCTGGGGGATTAAGAGCTTACAATATTCATATTTCTTCAAATAAAAACAAAGAAATGATATGCAAAATATTTTTTAACAAGCAAGTATTAAAGTCTCTCCTTGAATTAAATAATTAAATAATTAACTACCACTCCTGCCACCGAATTTTCGTGGGCATGACATACTTCCGCTTCACATGAAGGGACTCTGCGGTCGCCCTCAACCCTGAATATCCACCGCAATTTACGTTTTTCTTTTTAATTATAAATAAAACATGACTTTCTGTACATATGTCGTAAAAAAAACGAATAAACATGTTGCATAACAGGCAACAAGCAAACTATAAATTCTCGATGGAAACATGCACCACAAGCAGCTGTTCGAGCTTCGAAGCTTGTCCTCCCTCGGGTGGCAAAGGAAACAACAAGCTGCATTGGCTGGACTTTTCTTGGTGGCCGACTTTTCAGTGTGTTTGACCAACATCGTCATCGAGCTGGGCCAAGCTTATTGTAAACAGAATGTGATACCATCCCAGACACACACCTATACCCACACGAATGTGCACCATCATCGAGTGACTCCCTGCCCTGTTCCGATACCAAGTCCGACCACAATTCCTGCTCTATCTCCACACGACCGTTGCACATTTGCACTTTGTCATTTTGTGTTAACTTTGTGCAAACGTTTGCACCGCAAACTGTCAAAATGTGCAATTAGCTAGGTTAAATGGCTCACCTCAGCCATGGATCATATGCATATCGTTATGAGAGGAGCTGCAGGCAGCCGGAATTGCAATTAGAATTTAAATTAAAATTAAATAAACACAGTGGTAATGCCAAAAGTAAGAGGCTCACACGTTGTTAGTGATGTGTTTTATAAAATTAAAATATTTCTCAAGCATAAACTTGCTATTCTTAAGTTATGAGGATCACTTCCGTAAAAGAGGGGGATCTTAAGAGAGTTATCAGGATCACTTCCTTTAATCTGTTATAATCAAGCCACAAATACCACTCGGTTAAACCTAATCAAGTCCAACTGTACTCCTTATATCTTGCAATCAAATTAAAAACCCCAGGAGATGGAACGACTTTTATTCAATTACACCACCGTCTGGCATTAATTAAACTTGTACGTTCGATTATTGGAAAATTCTCCAACAGGTCGTCGTCGTCGTCGCCGCTGATGTCGATGTGGATGTGAAGTGGATGTCGTGGTCGTCGTGTGTCAACTATGTCGTCGCGTGTTCCACTTTTCCGAGCAATAAGCTGACTTAAGCCTAAACGGCTTAGCGTCCCTCCGAGTGGTTTGCCATTTGCTGAGTGCCTGCATCAGTATCTGTAGCTGCATCTGCTGCATGCCGTCTTCCCGTTTAATTGAAATGCGAATGAACTGCACACTCCCCAGAAATCCACTTTACTCCACTCCAGGTGGTTACCACTCCTACATCCAGCTGATTGTCATACCTGCATTCCGGCGTTCCAACCCTTTCTCATCGAAAGCCATCCTGCTGCAGATTGCTCCGCCAATGCCTGGCATACCAATGGCAATTTCCAATCACAAGTGCCTTGGGTCAAGTGCCTTTCTTCAATTACCACATTTGCCAGCCCATAAATTTTCGGTCTATGGCATAACATTTTAATAACTTTTAATGCAACAGATTATGGTCCATTACGGCCTGCGGGATGCTAAGCTTATTAATTATGAATTTCATTTTGCCGAGATTCGATTGGAGTGCTGCCATAAAGGGCTGTACCTACGACGAGTATCATAATTTATGGATAAGCCTTACGTATCACTACTCTATAATTTTTTATGTTGCATGTTGTGTCCGGCGTAACACTTTCAGAACAATGGAATAATTCACAATTTGTTGAGATGGACACATTCATAATTTGTTCAGCTCCCTTCAACACAATGCCCCCATTTAGCCTCTCTCGTTCTTTTTTTTCACCCACTATCTTTTTATATATGGAGGTGGGATATATGTGGGGGATAGTACGTTGAAAGCCACAGAACATTTCAATGGGTTTAATCAACTTTATTTCTGCTGTTGTCTTTTCTGTCACTGAAAAGTTCGTGACTTCGAACAATGGCGCCACGACAAACACTGACGCCCAAAAAAATCGATAATAAGTTGTTTGTAATTGTTGATTGTTGTTGCTGTTGGCTTTGTTGAGGATAAAGTTTTTATTGTTATTTTGTTTACTGAGGTTACTTGCCAGCCAGTGACCGAGAGTTGTCCATTAAATGCCAAGCTAAAATATTTCACTAAAAGGTCTCTTTTAAACAAGACATGGAAGTCAGGATATAGAGTTACGCCTCGAAGGCCGGTGGTGTAAGGTTCTATGCATTATAAATAGAATAATCGATTATGAGATTTAACTCGCATTAATATTTAAAAGTGCCTTAACCGAAATTACATAATCTAGCATTGGCTGTCGTGCAAATTGTAATTACTCATCATCCTGGAAAATAGTTGCACACACTCCCTGCCGTCCACCATCAAATTTAATGGAATTTTCAATTAACTCTGCTCGGCTTAACCCGAATTTCGAGTCGACTCGTCGTCGAAAAGTGTTGGACTAGCATCTAATTGGATTGCCGCTTGATTTGGACAAAATTGCAAATTAGGCCATTAAAGCTGATCCAACATAAAACGTGCTTCAAAATGTTTGCCGTTCCCGGTTTGCATGTTCTGAGGTCCATCAAGTATCCGACATGTGGGCTGGACTCTCGACCGCAACAACAACTCCCGCCCAAGAGTATGCAAATAATGTTGCCAGAAAATGCCCGCAACACTGTCAACTAATTTGAACAGGAAAATTCCCGCAGGATGGCCAGGGATGGGGGCGACGAAGTCGAAAAACTAACTACCAACAAATTATTAAATTGACTGAACAAGTCACTCTAACAAAAAAGATGCAAAAAGAAGATACAGATACGGAATATGAAAAGTTACTGTAGTAAAAATATGAAAAAAGTTGAGAGCACAAAATGAAATGCACAACGAACTAGACAAGACCATGGCTTTGCACTGCTAAAAATTAGTAATAGTTTCAGAGGGTTTTAAATTTATTATCTTTAATCAATAATATTTTGAATCTTTAAATGTCAAAATATTATATAAATTCATATTTTTTACCCTAAGTATATCATATTTATTCCCGGTGCTTTAAGATTGAAGAAATAAAAAAAGGCGGAAAGGATTGGTCTTGTTTTGGGTTAGTTGTTGGCTTGGGCTGTCAGTTGGCGCCATTTCCGGCCGCCGAAGGATAGAAGGATTAACTTTGGCCAGACTGCAGTCGACGGCTCTCGAGCGCGGTTTGTGAAAATTTATGCCCCGGAAGGCATAAAGGATATCAGCGGGGGAAGGCGGATAGAAGGACAATGAAAGCATACTATAAACTGATCTATGGTCAGTTGTTTCTACATTTTTTTCCCTCAATTCTCTCTCGCTTTCCCTTTCTGACTAAAAAAGTCCCAAAAAGTTTTCAATTTAATAAAGTTTTGTGACATTTTTGGTGCAAAAGAAAAATAAACCCCAACACCAGAACAAAAAGCAAAGTCCTATTATAGAAATGTTATACAAGCGTTTTAAATAGATTGAGGTCAATAATTGTCCTGGCACATGTGGGTTAGATAGAGACAGAGATATAAACGAGGAAAGAGAGGGGGAGACTCACGTATAGTATGTGGTGTATCGGTACCAATTTGTATATGAGACCCATTTACATGCCTACTTCTTAGGCCTGTGCTAGTTTGTGTTCCCATTACTTTTTGTATCTAGTGTCTTGGGGTTTATTTTTGTGCTTTATGGCCAAAGTCACGTAAAAATCGAATAAAAGTATAATGAAGACCTACCAGTGTGGAGGAGGAAAGGCCAAAGCCATTGAGTGCCTGTATGTGCGGTTTCCGGATATGTTGGGTAGCCTTGCCTTTCACGGAAAAATGAGTTTTCACTAAAAATCAGCCAATCAAATTTAAATGAGACCAGTTTTGGAATCTAAATGAAAAAAGAACGAAACAGCTTAAGCCGACCACAGAACCCAGGCTTCTTCTTCAAATCCTTTTTTAAATAAAGCCTTTTTCCCATTTAAGCCGATTATTTGGAACGAACATATGAATACATCTGTCCAAACAAGCATATAACCGCATGTACATAACTAATCAGACCCAAATCACTCTCAATGTCTGTTTATATATATTCAGAGTCACAGAAAAACGACGAAATTGAATTTTTGCGGTTCGTATTCATTTCGTTTTTATTCGAATTCATTTTTCCTGCATCGGCCACTCGAGTCTTTGCATGTTGGAATACATATCAAAATTTGGCCAAAACTTGTACTCACTTGAAAAGTACACATACTATATATCTAAAAACGAAAATTGCATTTTACCCTGACTTGGCCACAAACTGACAGCCACAATAACAGCAGAAAAAGAAAAGCCAAGAGAAGACAGCCAAAAGACAGTCTTTGACATGCAACAATAAAAATTCGTTTGGCCCATTGACTGGTTGACTGGCATTCGGTTTTTTGGATGTGGTCTAAAGTAATTGTACTGGAGAATACCTTAAAAAACTAATTTATTTAGAAAATTAAAATATAAAATGCTCTGACTATATATGCTAATCTAAAAATCCTGTAAGCCTGTTCCAACATTTTTTCAACCAATTGACCGGATTTCTCTAAATATCATATCTCAAATATAATCCATATCTTACTATAATTTTTATTTTACCAACTAATTTTCTTAAACTTCCTAAAAAACCTAAAACTTATGTTAGAATTGACCCGAAAACCTCTAAACTTTCTATTCGACAATCGTAAATCTGTTTCGGGAACCGTGTTATTTGGCAAACTGACATTTACAGTCGCCTGGGCACGCAGCTGGGCGTGGTCCTTGGACTGAAACAATCCTATATTGCCACATCAATCAAAATGTTTGTAGTTGTGATTGTGCAAGTGTTGAGACAGGACAGGAGGGCTGCACGACCGAGGGGCAAGTCATTGGAAATGACTGTCAAGTGGGTGACGATAGATTTTTATTTTAGATTGTGCCGAGCTTATTGCTTTCCTCGAGGTTAATTAGTTTCTTTTCTGTGGAAGGAAAACTAAATTGAAATGGTTATAAATAGTTTTCTAAGTAAAGAGATTAAATAATGTATTTGTACTTAACAGAAAAAGGAACTAAACTTTGTCTAAAATATATATTTGGAAGGATATTAAAGCTAAATATTAAATAGTTTCAGTTTGTAAACAAAAACTATATTTTCTTTTATTTATTTTCCTTTCAGTTGTCCTATCATGGGCTGCGTCTTTGAAGCGGCCAAAGAGCAGCCCCAGAAACCGAGAAGCAAGCAACCGAGTCGGCATCCATGCCGTGGCAGCCGAGGAGGAGCCAAAGCCGCTGCCAGAGCAAACAACCAAACAGCTGAGGACATCGAAATCAAGGATAACTATCAACAAAATCGTAAAACGCAAGTCGAAACACAGACCCAAACAGAAGCCGAAGCCGAAACAGAAACAGAAACTGTGCCCAAACATCTAAAAGCGACAGCTCAAGTGCTTTTAACGATACCACAACAACAGAAACAGAAGCAGAACCAGCATCAGCATCCGAATCACAAGCAGAATCAGAAACATCCTAGCCCAGAGAAGAGGCCCTCTGAAGTGGCACAAACGCACAAGGACGAAGGAGGCGAGAACGCGTTGGCGACACACGGAGGCATTGTCGATAGGGCCAGAATCGAAATCGATATTGCGGCAACGACGAGGCAAGCCAGTTGCGAGATCAAAGGGCGGGATGAGCAGCAGCAGCGGCATCAGCAGCAGCAGCAGCACTTTAACCGCCGAAGGAGACGTCATCCGGCGACGAATCCGGCGGATGAGGCCACCAACCAATCGAAGCCAAATCCCTCGCTCTCCCTGCATTTCCAAGCCCTCGCCGCCCTAGCGAAAAAGCTCCAGCAGCATCAGAATCAGGACGAGGTCCGAGGACAGGAGCAGCTCCATCAGCAGGATCATCAACTAGCCTACCGGCCCTGGCAGGTTGAGACGCCACCGCCGCCCGTGGGGCATCCGGGACACCCGGGGCAGGTGGGCTGCACTCTCAGTCCCCTGCCTGCCACCATGTCGGCGGCCATTTTTGCAATGGCGGCCACCTCGGCGGCTGCCTATCAGTATCTCGGCCAGCACTACAAGCACTACAGCCAGTCTTTCAGCTTCTACGCCGCCTCCAGTGTCATCCTGATGCTCTGCTACCTGACCAGCACATCCACGGCCGCTGCCACCCAGTCGGAGACGGGTGCCCTCGACAAGCATCCCATGTAAGTGTGTCACCTCAAAAAAAGGATAACTCGGGGCTAGCTTTAGTCTTCATTCAGGTTAAATTATTTATGAACTTTAGTCAGAAAAAGGTCTTTGAAACTTTACTTACTTTATGAATTTTAATTAAAACTTAAAGAGGACATACTAAACTAAAACTTTAAGCACTTTAATAAGACAAGCACTTTTTTTTAAATAGAAATAGATAATTTACAAATAAAGTCTAGAGATTCTTGATATAATATTTATTTATAATATTGAAAAATATTCTATTTCAAATATTGAATATTGAAATAGTATTCCCCAAAAAGCATTCCATTTTATTTGATTACCACAAAATACACTCAACCTCTAAACACTCCCTTCTATCTATCTATCTATATGTCCATGTATCTATCAATCTTTTCGCCTGGCAATCCTTTCCACGACACGTACAAAAATTGTTCTATTTATTTTTTCCTTTTGAAATTCTTTCAGTCATGGCATCGATTGGTCGAAGTAAGTTAATGCACACCTTTTTCCTGCTCTAAAAGAAATATGATGGAAGAAAATATAATATCTGGAATTAGAGCAAAACTAGAGTTTTTAGTTTTATCTTCTATTTCCAATTACGAAGTTTTGATTTATGCATAATTCATTGCTATTTTCAGTTTGTTTTCCCATCGACATAATTGGTTTCTTGCTGAAGTTTTGCATGCAATTTGAAAGAAAGTTTATTTTTTGGCCTTTAACGCTTCGTCAATTTGTGGAAAAGTCAAAGCTGCCGCTTGCCTGGAAAATTTCTAACAATTTCTATGCAAATTCTACAATTGACAACCAATAGAGTTTTGTGGGTTTTTCACTAACAAAAAAGGTGTCATTGGTTGCCGCTTCTTTTTTTAGGTTTTAACATTAACTTTTAATCGGCTTTGATGTTCGACTTTCCCATCCATTTACTAACAATATTCCCATCTATAAAAAACACACACAACTGTTGTACATAATTTTAATAATTATATTTTTATTAACAATAACCATTTATTATATAGAGAGTGAATAAATCCACGAAAACTAATATCTCTGCTTCCCCCTCAGATTCGACGAGTCCAGTTCGGATAAAGAGATATTAGATTTATTGCTTGAGAAGAAGCGCTACGACAAACGATTACTGCCGCCTGTAAATGGTAAGAAGTTCAAAAACTCACTCAGCACTACCGCTTTGTTTCGTTTAAATATCCAATTTCCCTAAGTGGAGAGCGTGGGCGAACAATGACAGCCAGAATTGCAGTTCATACTTAGTTTGGCTCTTGTGCCATTAAGCGAAAAGGGAAAAACAAGGATCGGGACATTTGCAGTCTTGGCTTGCCAAATGACAACAATTGGCGAAGTCAGGCCACGATGTATGGACGCTATAAAATCAATTAAACTTAATGGCAACAATGTCCTCGATGTGTTGCACAAAAGAACTTGCATCTTTTGGGGGCACGTGGGGCTGCAGAAAAGTATCTGTGGCCCAGCATCTAAGCAATCACATTACTTTTAATAAGTTAAAGGTTTTTGGAAAGTAATTACAGAAATTCTTAGTGAACAAAGACTCGATAATACACTTAATGTAAATAATTGTAGCAATTCTCTATCGAATTGAGAGTCTTTTTAAAATTAGTAAAATCTCCTAACATATTTACAGATGAAGACTTTTGCTGTGGTTTGCAATCGCCGGATATGGCAACTAATCAAAATGCACGGAGACCACACAATCGCGGTTGGTGTCTTGATTTTTAAACTATAACTTGTACCATAAAGTTTTGGCCTTTTTTTTATTCTATTTATTCTATATATTCAATTAGGAGTTTTTTTTTTGTTTTCTTGGCACCAACATTTTTGAAAACTTCTGTTAAATTATTTCTTATTTATTTCTTTTTATTTAAAAAAAAAATTATCTTTTTCTTTTTATCAATTTTTTATTATCCTCCTATAAGGTATCCTATAAGGTTTCTATAAATTCCCATTTATTTCTCATCATTTATTAGGCACTTTGACGGTGAATGTGAACGTGCTGCTCCTGAGCTTAGCATCGCCCGATGAAAGCAGCTTGGTAAGTCCAATCAAATTCGAAAATACATAAATTCCTTTGTTATAGAGAATACCAATTATTTGCAGAAATACGAAGTGGAGTTTCTATTAAATCAACAATGGAACGATCCGCGACTGCAATATGGCAATAAGTCTCATTATGACTTCTTAAATGCTCTGCATCATCATGATAGCATCTGGACGCCGGATACGTATTTCATTATGCATGGCGATTTCAAGGATCCCATCATACCAATGCATTTTGCTTTAAGAATATTTCGGAACGGGACCATTACGTACGCAATGAGGTGTGTGTTAGTCTGCATCATACCATTCCTTTTCTTTTTTTGTATAGTGTACACAGATTTGAATATGAATGAATTTTTTATACAAAAATGTAGGACCCGGACCGAGGACGAGGACGAGGCCGGTGACGGGGCTAAGCGGCTTTAATGGCGCCAGAAAATGCAAATTTTTGCGCTCAAAGTTCATATTCATTAGGGAGAGCAAGATGACAGGCAGAGCGGCAATATTTTTTTATTCTCACTGGTTTATTTTGTTTGTTGGTTTGAGTGCTTCTTTTGCTCAATTTTCCACAATTTTTCATCATTTTTTTTTTTGTGGAAATATCCTGAAAACGAGCCAGACGAGAAAAAGCTAGCCGGCAAACATACGAGGCTGTAATGAAAAATAGCACAAGGAGTAGCAGGTAGCCAGGTAAAAGTAGAGGAATATAAGGAAAAATGTAAGAATGTATGTAAATATTTGGTCAGGACCAACAAAACCTACATATGTATGGCCCAACTTTGTTCAACTGGCACTAGGAAGGGAATACTTTTTTCCGACAATATGGCCAACATTCGCCGGATGCTCATGTTTGTCTTAGTCTCCCCTATTTCTCCTTTTTTCCCAACTGGTCTACATTTTTAATTCAACAGAACTTTTCCAATTGACTGCATAGCGCAAAAGTGTCGTCCAGCAATTAAAATAAGTTGCAGTTGCCATTTACTTTCCCTGAATTTCCTTTTTGCTGTTTGCATAGCCAACAAGGAGAAATGTCTGAAAACTTGTCGCCGGGAAAGCGACAGCGACACGGAGTGCAAAATTATTATGAATTGATGCTGGCGGACAAAGAGCGCGATATTAATTGGCAAAGACAAGTATAAATTCCACAGAGTTGTAAGGTCAAAGCTTGGACGTTATTACTTTCGCTATTCACGTTTTTAGGGGAAATTAAAAATGCAAGAAATAATAAATGCTTTCGCGTTTTTATTACTTTTCAGACGTCACCTGATCTTATCCTGCCAGGGGAGCCTACATATATTTCCATTCGATGATCCCAAGTGCTCCTTCTCAATGGAAAGCAGTAAGTAGACTAAAAACCACATTTTAAAGGTATTCATTTCATGAATTGAATATGTCTAATAAAAAATATGACCCCAGTGGGTCATATGGCCCTCCCAACCATTTTCGCGATTTTTGAAGGGGATCCTCCAGATTCAAGATTTTGATGCAGATTTACGGAGAATCGATGTACAAATCGTTTAAGGTATTCCACTTAGAAATCAGATGGGTTTTGACAAAGATATGGCCTTCGCAGTGGGTCATGTGGTCCTCCCAAGCATTTTCACGATTTTTGAAGGGGATCCTCCAGAAAATTTGACGAAAAATCGAAAAAATATTTTGCTTCCAGATTTTGATGCAGATTTACGGAGAATCGATGTACAAATCGTTTAAGGTATTCCGCTTAGGAATCAGATTGGTTTTGACAAAGATATGGCCTTCGCAGTGGGTCATGTGGCCCTCCCAAGCATTTTCACGATTTTTGAAGGGGATCCTCCAGAAAATTTGACGAAAAATCGAAAAAATATTTTGCTTCCAGATTTTGATGCAGATTTACGGAGAATCGATGTACAAATCGTTTAAGGTATTCCGCTGAGGAATCAGATTGGTTTTGACAAAGATGTGGCCTTCGCAGTGGGTCATGTGGCCCTCCCAAGCATTTTCACGATTTTTGAAGGGGATCGATCCTCCAGAAAATTTGACGAAAAATCGAAAAAATATTTTGCTTCCAGATTTTGATGCAGATTTACGGAGAATCGATGTACAAATCGTTTAAGGTATTCCGCTTAGGAATCAAATGGGTTTTGACAAAGATATGGCCTTCCCAGTGGGTCATGTGGCCCTCCCAAGCATTTTCACGATTTTTGAAGGGGATCCTCCAGAAAATTTGACAAAAGGTGTACTAAAGGCCAAGATAGCCATCTGGAAAAAAAGTCTTCCAAATAGATGTAAAAATTGTTTAAGAAAAACTTATAAATAATATGAGAGAGGAGAAAGTGTTGAAAATTAAGTTCAAGATGTTGATGCGATGATGATATAAAAAAATGGGCAGACGAGCGTGTTGACTGCCACTCGAGGGAAATCTTTGCCTCCATCTGCATTCGTCTGTGTTTGTATCTGTGAGTGTGTTTGTGTATCTTTGTATTTTTGCAACAATGAAAATGGAATAGGATGGCAAAAGGGGCGCGTCTAAGGGCGGGGCTCAACGACAAAAGCTGACAAAGTGACTAACAAGGCTGACTGCCTGCCACACAAGCGGCACAGGCGGACTTGTTCGTGTTCATCACACTTGAAGAAAATCAGAAAGGATAACGTAGGTCACCTTTAAGATATTAGAAAAATACATTTAAGTATTAATTGTTTGAGCTTTCCTAAAACATTAAAGATACTTGGAACCTTTTGCTGTCACTAGAATCTCCTATATCTTTTTGGTTAACCGGATTTATTTTAAAGTGCACCTATGCTGTTGTAGGCTTTTTTGTCTTTACATTGTTTTGGAAAGTTGTTTCCGGTTTGCAGCCCCCGAACCCCCATCCTGACAACAACAGCCAAGAACGTGAGCAACATCGTAAATTACTTTGAGGGGCTGGCGAGGCAGAAATGCCGCCACAGGATGAGGTCGTTCTTGCCGAGATTTTCATCTATGTGAAGAGGAAACATCGAAGTGTTGTGCCTTTTGGCTGCTGCTCCTGATGCTTGTCATGGCTTGTTTGTCAAATATGATTTAATTTGCTGGGGCCGCCCAGCCAGACAATATGCATTTGTGTATCCGTGCCTATTTAGATTAATGCCATTAATTAATGAGTTAGATTGACGACGATGCGGGGATTACTTGCGCCTTGAAAATGTGGTCTAAGGGAGATAAGCGTTGAGTGCTTAAAGCCAGTTTGTTTATTTTTTTGTCTTCTACTCGACAGTTTCCTATGAGGAGGCGCAAATCAAATACGTCTGGAAAAACGACGAGGATACTCTGCGGAAAAGTCCATCGCTGACCACACTGAACGCGTACTTGATCAAAAATCAAACAACGGCCTGTGATCAGAACAGCTGGAGAGGTAAGTCCTTTCTACTTCCGATCACCTCACCTGCCAGTCACTTCATTGGCTTGTACTTTGTATTAGCCAAAGATTTAAGCTGGGAAAACATTATGCTCTTCAGTATTGTAGTGATTTTTTGGTGAACTGGTATTTATAAAAAATATATGATTTTTTTTATGTCCACAACATACAAAACGGCGTATTTTGAGTAATTATTTATAAAAACCTTCTCAGTTCTCAGTACTCTCCATCCTTTGGCTTGGCTTTTAAAATTAAGTTTTTTTTCTTGATTGTCTTGATTTACAATTATTTGTAGACTCAGACCTCGGCTAGAAATGCTTTTGCAGCTTTTACATTTTTAAGCAAAGAATTTACAAACTTATGATGAAAGAAATCCAATGCCTATCTAATGGTCTAATCTTTGTCTACCTTCCCACTCCTCCTCTATTTGATTGAAACGCTACAAAAAAACCAACAAAATATCCAAAAATGTATGAAAACTAGGGAACTACAGCTGTCTTAGGGTCGATTTAATCTTTACCAGAGATCGTGCATTCTATTTCACCACCGTTTTTATACCCGGCATTATATTGGTGACGTCATCTTTTATAACCTTCTGGCTAGAATGGAATGCCGTGCCAGCTAGATCGATGATAGGTAACAATATCCAAAAAAAAAAAAAAAAAACATAAAACCAATAAAAACCAAATCAACCTACAAAAGTAAAAACCAAAACCATTACCAATTTTTGCCCTCGCTCTCTCTATATCTCTCTCACACTAATTAAAACAAAATAAAATAAATACTTAATTTTAAGAAATTAACCTGAACTTAAAATCAATTTTGTACGCTATTGAGAATTGATTTACTTTCCGCCTTTCGTAGCATTTGCCTTTTTCGATTGCCGTTCTGTAATGTAATTTGTACAATTTTATGATTTCTGATTGCCACTTTACCATTTCATTTCAATGCGGCCAACAGTAGTAAGCCAATTAAGCAAGAAACTACCTAAAACGACCAACCAACACCAATAAGATTTTAGCGTTTAAGTTTTCATCCAAGGTTTGCTGCATGGGTTCTGTTTCTTGTATTGAGAGCCAAACCACCCCACGCCCAAGTTCGAAACCACAATTTTAGTTTTTCAAAATATTCTTTTTTTTTTCTACAAATTCTCCAATCAACGAGTAGTTCAGCCAAACAAAAGCCAAATCGAGAATATAGTCTAGGCTAGAGACTAGGCCCGATAACCTCTGAGATCTATGAGCCTTACGAGCTGCGTCCTTTACCATATAGCCTCTCTCTATCTATCTTTATATATGTATCTCTATCTCTCTCTGTCTGTCTCTGTGTGTGTGCGTGTGTTAACCTTTGGCCTTTGAATTTGTAAAATTCTGGCCTTGTTTCTTAAGGTAATTACAGTTGCCTACAGGTCGAGTTGACATTTACCCGTGATCGTGCGTATTATTTTACAACCGTTTTCATACCTGGCATTATATTGGTCACCTCGTCGTTTATCACATTTTGGCTGGAATGGAATGCAGTCCCAGCCCGGGTTATGATCGGTACGTAACAAAAAAAACCAAAAAAAAATTCTATCAGAACTCTAAATTAAAAAAAAAAAAACTGAAAATATAACAAAAATCGTAGTCTTCCAAAATCACAAAAAAAATAATAGCCGTTAAGTGTCTGGAGAGTTTTAGTCAAAATTTAAACGCAACCACGAGACAATTGGCCTAAAGTTTTGAATTAAAAAGTGATTTCAGTCTAGAAGAGAATAGGACCATTTAACTCATTAAAAACATTTAAGTTTAGCTAGCCGCTCGAATTAAATGGATTCATTACTTTACTTCTTACAATTTTTATTCCAAAACTTCATTTGATCTAATTTTCGTTTACTAACTTTTTGCACTCGTAACTTCTTTGAAACATTATGCATTGCATGACCTTTTTACCATAAACTAGGTACTTTTTGGCTTAATTTTATTAAAGAAGCTTTGGTAACAACATTAACGAAAAGTCAAATAAAGAGCTTCACACATTTGATGCTAAAAATACGTACTTTTTCACTTAAAAGTAGAGATTAACAAACGTTTAACTAATACTTGAACTTTTAAACAATGATTAAAAAAATATTAAATAGTATATATTTTAAATGTGATTTTTTGTTAGTGGTAGGGAAGCTCTCAAAGTTATGGAGCCTAAACGCTCAAAATATTCATATCCTAGTCTCTATGATTTTAGCCTCCACTGTTTATGTGGAGTGAAGCAAGGATAATGCAATTATTATGCCCTCTATCCCAAAGCCAAAAGCGAGAAAAGAAAACCGAAATAAAAGTAAAAAAAAAGAAATGAAAGCATCGCAAAGGGAATGTCAACCGAAACATCAGACGTCGTTGGCATCTGGTCCTGGCTCCTGGACAGGACAGGAAGCCGAGAAACATGGACACGGACATTTCCTGGTATTTGCCTGCCCGGCCTTGTGGTCCGCTCAACAGTCCTGCCATGATGATGATGATGATGACGTGGAGCGGTGGCCACATCATACATGATGATTTATGCATAAGCCATATGGGCAACATGGACTAAGCAAATAGGGCCGAGAGCCCAACTGGTCTCTCTACACATGTGCGTGTAGCGCAAAACTACAAAGTACAGGAGCGAAAGGACGAAAAACGGCCGGCTGGGGATTAAAAGTAGCTTAGGACTTGACTTGACTTTAAATTGAACTAAAATATATGCACTGAAAGAACAGTGAGTCGGAGAAGGCACTCATTATTTTGGCATTAGAAATATTTGAAACAAAAGAGCAATAAAATCCACGAAAGAGCCCTCTCATTGTGAAGACATTGCAAAGGGAAAGGATGATTCAATATCCTGCTGCCATTGTCCGGGCAAGGCAAACACAATCAAATGACATTTCGTTGACAAAAGAAACTAAATAAATAAATAGTCGAAAAAAGCAGCGAAATGGCTGATGGCAAGCGATGCCGTTTTGTTAGTCAAAGTGCTGACATTGCATGCATTTTCCAACAGGAACAGGAGCAGGAGCAGCTCCTTTCTTACCCTCCCAGCCAGGCAGGATGGCAACATCTTCCTGCCTCATTTGTGACCCGCTTGCTTGGCGTTTGAGCTTCATCCTCAGATGCATTTGCAGTCGAGTGGAGCGTCAAGATTTCCTTACTGCCAAAAAAAAAGGATATAGAGGGGAAAAAAACGCGGACGTAACGCTGGCAAATTGAAAATCGATGGGGTCCTGGATGCAGCCGAGCGAATGCTGCAAGTGCCGCTTGTAGCATGCCAAACTAGTTAAACCCCGTTGCACTCAGGCCAGGCTGTGTGGCAGCCAGCGAATTGTTGACGCAACTAATTAGGCAACTAAGATTGATAATGTTGTTCGAGCAGTTTAATTTGCGAATTGGATTTTTATGTGAAATAGAATAGATCACATTAATCAAATAGAGTTAACGATGGTATGATAAATGAACATAGTAAAAATTCAACAAATTTTAATAGGGTTTCCAGTGACTTTTAATGTATATACTATTTAAAGATCTAATCAAATTAGTTAAATAAAACAAACTAACAATCTCTAAAAGTACTAAAGAACTCATTTAACTAAAACTTCCTCTCATATACTTCCGTAGTTTAGTTTACTATTTTTTTAGCTTTTGCACACTTTCTATTATTAAAACCCCAAAAAGATAAACTCAAAAACAGGCACTCTATATATAAGTTATAACAACTCCTGCCTGAGAACCGGACCGGACAAAACTCAAATGAAAAACTTTGTACATATGCAAAAACTAATTACTGAACACCGAACATCCAGTTTCCTTTTGTCCTGTACAGTGTACACTCCCTGTTACCCATTATGATCCTGCCCAACCCCATGCCCTGCCCCCCAGAGTATGCAATACTTTTCTAATTACGTGTCAAACGGCTAATGCAATTTCTCTACAATCTTCAACTTGAACAACTAACTGCGGGAAACAAACAACATCATTGCGAAGGCGTGACAACAATGCTGAATTTCTTCACTACCTCGAACGGTTTCCGGAGCACTCTGCCGGTTGTTTCCAATCTGACGGCGATGAATGTATGGGACGGAGTGTGCATGTGCTTCATCTACGCCTCGTTGCTGGAGTTCGTTTGCGTCAATTATGTGGGCCGTAAGCGGCCGCTGCACAACGTCGTTTACCGGCCGGGCGAGAATCCCGTAACACAGGTAAATTAAATAATAATTTAATCCGATTCACACCACCCAACCAACCTCCCCAGCCAGCCCAGTCTGCTCCACGCCCTCTCCCTACCACCGCCCTATGAAAGAATCCCCCAAAAATAAAAGCTAATTTCGTATGCATTTTGAAAGCAATTAAATATGAATATTACATGAGCGTACAAGGCTAAAAAAAAATGAACCAAACCAAACAAGTATAAAGTATAAAAACGAACATAACACAACAAACACAACCTTCAACAAAACATTCGTACTCTATAAGTTATTCAAGTTATTTGTTCTACCTTTTCGCTTAAGAAGCCAGAAACACCTGAGCCCAAAAGTCATACCAAACAAATAAAAATGAAATGAAATAAAAACTCAGTCAGAAACAATTCGATAAACGCCATTGTGTTGCCGTCCCTCTCGTTCTGTATGTCTCTATCCTTTTCTATCTATATCCTGTTTTATCTAACAACGTGTTCCGTCCAGTCTTTTTAAGGTTTTTTTAGTTAATAGAACTCCAACTTAGCATTTTGTACAACAACTTCTTAAAATAAAACTAAACGTATCCTGTCTGTCCCATATATTAAATAAATCGATTAAACAAGATCCTTAATTTGTTTTTTGTTTACTTTTCTTTTGGTTTTTGTCCTTAACCAAGGACCCTGTCTATGTATGTGTAATATTGTGATGATGCTCAGTTGTATTATTTGTTTGCATTTTTATTAAACCCAAGAAAGTGACGAAAGATAATCCATTAATTCCCCTCTACGATAGAAATCTAAATATCTGTTTTATGTTATGTTTTAATTAATTTTCTAAGTGTTGTATAATACATCAACCCCGATTAGTTTGCAAATATCCTAACAAAACCAAAAATTAATCTGAATAATAAATACAAAGTAATTGAAATGTTTATGTGCCCGTGGGTAGGTATGTTTATTTAAATGTTATCATTATTTTTTTTTGGCCAAAAGCAAATAAATAAAAACTTTAAATTGACAATTAAAAAACAAATAAGATATGCATTTTGTTTTAATACAGGCACTTTAAGAATTAAGAATAAATCGTTTAAACGTTTATTGCACGTTAAACATTTTTGTTTGATGTGATTTAAAAATATGTAGTTCATTTTAGTGAGAATTAATTTTGGTGGAAAAATACTGATTTATGGGTAGAGCTTCGGAGCACCGAAGTGGCAAGCTCTCAAATTTTTTACCTTTTAAAAAACTGCCACCAAAATTAATTGTCACTCCGAAAATTCCATGCATCATATGATACATTTTGTTTTCCTGAATGAAGACTTTTATTTTAAGAGTACCAAACAAAAAATGCGTAAGCAAAACTGAGAAAATCGAACATTGTTCCCAATTTTAGTGATATGCAATTAATTGAATAACCAACCAAAAAGAAACTAAATTTATTTTCAATAATAGCAGCTAAGTGAGAAATAAAACAAGAAACCAAAACTAAACCCAACCAAAATGACAACCAAACAAAACTTAAAGTGTGTTTTGAGTATGAACATTGTTTTGTGTACATTTTTGCAGCGTCTTCCAGCAGTACTAAGCAGGATCGGAGTAATTCTTGCAAGTCCTTTGGTAAGCTATCAACCACAACTCATGCACCACCCTAGCCTCCCCCTGCCCCCCCAAAAAAGAAACCAAAACAATAAAAATTAATTTAAACAAAACCATTTAGCAGCACACAGCAGCAAAAACTAACTGAACACACACTCACACAACCAAACCAAAACACACACTGGAACACCCGAGTCCTTGCTCCTTTTTCCCCAAAAAACCAAACCAAAAACAGCGAAAAGTAAACCTAAGAAAAATGGCATGCGAATTTCGCTTTGATGAAATGTATTGACAAAGTTTTGTTTCGATTTTGGTTCTTGTGTTTCTCGAAACATTGTTTGATTTCATTTTTCGAGCCAAATGGAACAACAATGAAAATAACAATAATCATAATTTAAATTTAAATAATTACCTAGTAGATTCGCACTCGCTTTCAATGTATATAATTCCATATTTAAGACAATATTTATTTCCATAATTTATTTACGTTTTTTGCTTTTTTTCCAATCCAACCATAAAGAAAAACTCTTAATGTAATTAAACACATGACAACAAAATCAATGGCTAATTACTATGCGTAATTTAATTGTTTTTGAAGAATCTACTTTTACACCAATTACAAAACAAACAAACTAGCTTCGGGTGGATCCGAAGTATGTATACTCTTTTTGGCTTTCCAAACATAATCCCATTTTTATTGTAGGTTAAAATGTACTTTAATTCTTAATTGTTCAAGTGATAATAAGAATTTCAATTAACCTTTTCGATTTTTTTTTTTAAAGATAAAGCTTTAAACGAAACTGTTTAGTTTTGATCAAATAATTTCTTAAAATCTATATATCAATTATAAAGCCTAGTTTTTGTTTTTTGTAATTTTTAAAGTCTGGACCTTATACAGTTTTGTAAAATAACAATTGTTTTAAATTAAAGGGATTAACTGTCGAAAATATATCTACCAATACATCATTTATTCCAGCATATGTAGGTCATGGTTCTACACAGCCATGAGATTAATTAATTTTGTATATTCACCGCCATTAGGTTAAGTACCTTTGGATTGACATTCATTCCGATCGGATCATTTTTTCAGATTTTTAAAATACATTTAAAGTAGTGTACGCACTTCTGTCGGTGCGACTCGTTTTACAAAAATAAGCAACCAACCCCACACGCAGAAACAACAACCACAATCATAACAAATGAAACATCATCAAGTTAAAATAAATAAATATAAAACACACTTTAAGGTCACTTACAATTGGGAAAAATGTTACGAATGAAAATTGTAACAAAAAAAGCGAAAACAAACGATTACCGAATAATATGGAAAACTATTTTTTCTCCTTTTACAAAAAATATAAAAAAAATACGAAAACAAAGAAATCGGAAATCGAATAAGCTATAAATCAAATTTTGTTATTTGCTTCTGATTTACATTTTAATTTTAGTAAATGAACTTTGCCATTAAAAAATGTATATTTAAATTATGTTTTGTTGTTGATTTTTTGACACGCTCTCTTCTTGAATAAAACAAATATTTCTTTTGGTTTAATCTAACAAAAAAACGATGATTTGGTGCCGGAAATGTTGGCCACTATTATTTATGGTACTAACAAGTAGTGGCTATAACATTTTTCTTTTTGCCTATTTTGTGTTGTCTGTGTGTGCTTGAAAGCTTTTTGTTTAGGCGTTACGTTACGTTATAGTTTTAGTGCATTTTGTGCATCTGGATGTTCGTCAATAAATATAAAAACACACTTATGCAATTTATATCCAAAACACGAAAAACGTAGTTTGTTGGCGGGTATATTTTTTACGACTGCATAGTATGTGGGAACTTTAAGGAAAACCAATAATTTGAGGTGCTTGTGAGTCACCCTGCTTTTGATAAGCAGTAAACTGCTCGAAAGTGTTTTCAAGCAGTAAAGTAAGCAGTGTTTATTGTTAAAACCCGTATTTTCAGGATTCTTTAACTAATTGGCTTATTTTAAATGATAGGAAAATAATAAATGTATTTTTATTTGAGTGAATTTATCGAAAAACAACTACCTTTCAACTTTTTATTACAAGAACAACTCCACTAACCGCTCTTTGAGAAATTGCTTGAAACTCCCACTTAATCTCATCAATTAACCCAATTACTTGTGTGGCCTTCGATTATCCTGACTAAAAGCACCTGTGTCTCTTTCCGACAAATTGTCTTTCTCTTTCCCATGCTCGATAAAAACAAAAAAAACAAAAATCACTCCAAAGAAACTCCAAAAATTTCTCTACCAATCCAAACAAAAACAAAAACCAACTGTCCCCATTCCGAACAACCTGCTCTATAGGCAATAATCGAACGCGAATTTCATGCTGCTTTGTCCTCCGAAAAGGCAAGCGCCACGGCCACGCCGGCAATGTCGGTGGGCGGAGTCACGCCCATGTCGGGGGGTGCCACCCCGGCCACATCGGTGGCCACACCCGGCACCCCAAGGACCGTCGACGCGGAGGAGTTCTTCGGCGGGGGAATGAGGTGGCAGGAGGCGCACGGCGGAATCATCGGAGCGGCGGTTCAGAATTTACGGGCTCGCTCTATAAAAAGGAAAGCGGCAAGGAGTCCATCTACTTCCGTATCCCCGATGCCAAGTGGTCGGCCAGCGGAGCACATTTACGAAGAGCCCGGCACGGGCACCACCTCCAGCACAAAGGTGAAGTTCAAGGATGAACTGAAGGAGGAGCAGGAGGCGTCGGCACTGCGAAGATCCGTGGCCACCAGTACCCCAGCTCTCGTGGTGCGAATCGAGGCTGAGAGCGATTTGGAAGCGGTACAAAAACCTGTACAGGATATGGAAATGACGGAGCGCCAATTGCAATTACCGTTGAAGCCGCCCCGCCGCAAGGCCTCACGCTCCAATTCACCGGCCTCCGTTTACGGCGAGTGCAGTGCCATGGAAGATGAGTCTGCGGATAATCCTGCCCAGGCAGTGGAAGCTACCGTGAGTAAAGGACAAAAACCAGCACACCAAAATCGTTCCTGAGACTAACCCGAAATGAAAAAACTAAATCGTTCTTCTTGTTGTTGTATGCACATCCAACTAATAACTAACCATAACAATGTAAAAAGCAGAAGCCAAAGGAAAAACGTCAGCAAAAAAGTTGGCCCAAAGGCGAACATTGAAGTTCGTCCCAGTCCCTCGCTCTCTGAGTGCTCCCTTCACTAACTAAACTTGATTGCCTGCGGTTATTTTGATTGCCATTTGCCAAACACCCACAAATGCACCCAAACACACTCAAACACGCACCCTCAAACTTTTTTCTTCTCAAGCCAAACTTGCAATCGAACTTTAAATGAAAGACTAACAATGGGTAACTGAGAGTAACAGCATTAGCCGTGAGGATTCGACAGCCAAAGAAAACATAAGGTTAACCAATTAGGTTTAAAAGCTAGGTAAAGAGTTGGCTTTCCAATTCAGATGTTTTCTCAACTAATCGCCCTAAAATACGTGTTTAAATTCCTAATGGTTCTTCAGGTGGACTTTTAGTGTTTGCAGAATACTTTGGCTAATGAGAAATTAAGTTTTCTGAAAAGGTTTAAGAGAATTTGTAACATTTGACTTCAAGTCTTAAGATTAAGCAGTGTGACCAAGCTTAAAAAAAATAAAAAGTGTTGAAAAGTACAAAAAAATACTGTTAGATCTTCCTTATCGATAAGATAAAATGATAATTATTTTTAAATAAAACTCCCGTTTAAGAGAAGCTAGGCATATCCTTGCCTTAGCTCCTTTAAAAAAGACCTTTTGACCATCAAGATTTTAAACTCTGCCAACGAATAAATCATGAAACTTTCTCCCCAAACGACTCCAAGTAAATCAAACTTATCGAAATGAAAAAGGGAAAACCGCCATCAAGATAAGAATGAGACCTGCATAAAGCAAATAAACCGAGTCAAGTGGGCGTGATGAAAGACCGGGCTTCCAGCGAAACTATTTCATGGGGGAAACGCTGACGACTGCTTCCGACAGCCAGGAGAACAGACTACCAGAACACCAGAAATTGGAGTAAAGAAGTTGCAGGAGCCAGAACGGAAAACAGTCAACAACAAGGTGGCTGGGAAAATGTTTTCCACCATTAGCATGTAAATTAAAAATGGTGAACGCGCTTAAATTGGCGCCTCGCCAGGTGGACAACGCGCCGAACAGGACAACATAATTATTCATGAGCGCCCCAAAGTGGAAAATGCCGTAATGAGCCCGAGAGCAGCGGAAAACCAACGACACGAAAATGAAACACAAACAAATGGCAGCCAAGGATGCGACCGAACTTGGAGCGAAAAATGTAAGGAAAGCGAAAATGTAACCGAAACCGAAAATAAAACAAGGAGCAACATGCATCATAATAGCCGAAAATGTTCTCGAAAGGATGCGCAAGGATTTTCAACTGACAAACTTTTCCTGAACCTGGCCCTGGGCTCTTTAAAGCTTCAGGGAGTCTTATGCAAATACCACGAAATTCTCAGAGGAAACGCTGTTTTTTTTGTCCTTTCGACCAGGACTTTTTCCTTCGCCAATGCTAATTGCACTGGGCATATAAATCTTCTCGCGTCATACATATTTCAAGTGTTTTAACATCATTGTGTTAATAAAATTAAATTGTGAAATAAGGACTTTGGGGAACATTTAAGAAAACTTTCGGTACTTGTTTAAGGTTTGTGGAGGTATCTTATAAAGGAAGTATTGTCTTTAGAACTTAAGGCTTTATTATTCTATCCTATAATACTAGTGATGCTTAAATATAAACAAAACAAAGGTTACTTTTTAAGAAATTAACGGGAAATATGTAAAGTTCCGGCACAGCTTCGGTGTTTAATTTAGGTCAACCACTTTATCCGGCTCTCTGGCTGCTTAAACACACCCGCATAATACATCTTACCTAAGTAACTGTTTCCTCCCGGCCCATTTTCCTATTTTCCCATTTTCCCAACAGCACAACCAGCCAAACCCAGCCACACCCCATTTTACACCATCCCCCTTTAGGCCACCTTTGACTGCATTTGTGCACTCGGCAAATGGCCACCAGCAGCTGCTGGCAAACAAAGACAAGTCAGTTGCCAAGCCAGCCAACTACCCGAAATCCCCCCCTGAATCTGGTGGCCCGGATGTTTTCTGGATTTTCCCCTGGCTCGTTGGCGTTTCAGATGCAACTCTTGCAACTCGTGCTACGTGCCACAGTAGTTGCTATAAATTGTAGCATACTTTCCAGCGGACGCAGTTAATTTCTTGGCCTGCCACCTACGACCCATCGGACTATTTATATTGCTCACAAAAATTTTCGGTGTTAATTATGTTTACAATTTCCATAAAAGAGGGTGCACTAGGGAGTGCAATAAAAGATAATACTTTTTTTGGGTTATATTTTACTGTTATTTAGAATATTTTAGAGATATATTTAATTAAATATTAAATTCTACACATAAGCTTTTAATTTTAAATGTGTTTTATAGTCAATAGCCTGTACATAGAATAGCGTTGGCTTTGTTGTGTTCTGAGCCCGACACCTTAGCCTAGATGTCCTTGTAAAGCACGCTTTTCTCCCAACAATTAAGTGCACCAAGCTCCACAGATATCTACCTTGAACCCTGTATGTTTTCATAACGATTCATTAGACATTAAATCACACACACATAATCTAACAATTAATACAATACCAACACGTTTTCAATTTGATTTTTATTATATTTCGAAATTCCCATCACTTGAGTTCCAATTATGGTTTTCAGTTCACTTAGAGATTCTAAAACACAGCAAAATTCTCATGCCATTCTCATATCAATCGAAATACAAAATCCTATACAACTTGCTACAGCTTAAACAAATAACTAATGATTAAAATACTGTACGTGCAATAAAAACTTACAATTAGTAAAATTAAAAATAATTTTTAATAAATACTATTTAACTGCGCTGTGAGCATAAATAGACCGTCGTATACTAAACCCGAATCTGCTCTTTTTTGCTTTTTCAAATGCTGCCACTGATATAAATAAAAAATATCTAAACTAACAATTTAAAGCCCGTAAGTACTGCTGATCAGAGAATATTTAATGACACATTTTAATTAATTTTTTACGTAGTTACTATTGTAAAAGAAGCAATGCTAAAAAGCATTTCGAACGCTTTCGTAATAAATTCCGTAGTGTTTTCAATTGTTTCAACTTTTGTGCCACATGTTTTTAATAAACTTTAATAAATGAACTATTCTTTTCTACCTTTTTTCATATATTTTTTACATACTTATACGCTTTTTGCTGGGTTTTTGCAAAAACGTAATGCAAACAACCAAAATATGTAACCAAAAACTGCAACTGCCAAACCAATTTTACGTTCTTTTTTTCGTATGCGTATGTGTGTGTATGTATGTGTAAATAATTCCTTCTTTTAAACCAAAAAAAAAACCAAAATACAATCCAAAAAACCAAAAAATGTTTCACCAAATTGTATTTGACTTGTAAACTTTCCAAAAACTTGTTTGCAATTCATCCACACCCACTGGGTCGACACGAAAAAAATTAACAAATAAGTTTTTTAAATTTACCGCCGTCTACCAGGGCGAAAAGCGACGCGACGCCGGGGCACCTAACGAAATTGTGGCATGCACCACCTGCGGCGGCAGCAACAGTCCTTGCACCCACTCGGCCAACAATGGCTGCGCGACGGAGGTGAGATTATTCATTAAAAGTCAATGGAAACTATAAGCCAGAAATGAATTTCTTTAAGTGTATACATTCTAAAGGCTTGCTATACAAATAAAAAAATTTTATTTCTGGTATAAATTAAAATTAAAATGGATTATTATCTAACCAGTATGTTAATTTTAGAGCTGCTTCGTTCAAGTGCGGAAAAAGGAGCCACCACATCCCATTCGAGTGGCCAAGACGATCGATGTCATCGCTAGAATTACATTTCCAACTGCTTATGCCATTTTTCTGATATTCTTCTTTGTACACTATAAAGGATTTTCGTAAAATTAAGTAAAACCAAGAACTAAACTAAAAATAATGCATAAACATACGTATAGAAACGCTAAATTGCCGAAGCAATGCCGGAAAAGCAGACTCAACCGCTTCGTAAAGTAAATTTGTAGAGAAACCAATGCAAAATGTCATGAAAAACTCGTTTGCTAAGTTCTATGGCCTTGCAAAGTCATCTAATTTTAATGAAACAAAGGGAAACACAAAGTACATCTAATTATTAATTAACAATTATTTAAATGGCAAACACAACATGACAAAAACCAGTGATAAAAAAAGTCAAAATGAAAAAAATTAGTTTAAACTGAGTTGTTAATGGGGAAAAACAAACCGAAAACCAAAAAAGAAATGAATAAGTTGTTAATAATTAATAATTACGAAAGTTAAATTTATGCAAATGAGCAAAAAAAATACGAATGAAACATTTTCGACTGCCTTTTTTTAAAAATAGTAGAAACAAAAAACGAAATGCGAAACTTTAAAATTAAATTTGCAAATTTTTGCATATGCTCGAAAATGCATTAGTTAATTATACCAACCAAAGAAACACTGTCTAGCAATTGTAATATATAATATTTAAACAATTTATTAAGCAAAGAAATTTATGCTGAAAGTACCAAAATAAATACACGATCCAAAACGATAAAAGACCTAGCCTATAATTACGAAATATGAAACGCAAACCAAACAGCTTTAAGGCTTTACCTATTTGAGTAGTCGGAATGATATAAACCTGTTTATACACATATACAAAAGAAGTTATATATTTACAAGAACTCTAGTCAAATATTTTGAAATCGAATTCAATTTTGTTCTACTTATTATTCAATTCAATGAGTTGAAATGCCTCCGCATATGTCAAAGAATAAACAAAAACACACCATATGTTAATAATCACAAAAATTTTTATGTTATTCTATTATGTATATACTATTTATTTAAATGTTTAGTTAATTTTCTGTTTATTTTTTTAAATAAATGTTCAATTAATAAAGAAAACATATTCTCGCATCTGAAAAAATCATAGAAATGGAACCGCCGCAACGTAGATCAAAGAAATGCTTTCCTAAAATTCAGGTGAAATGCAAATTAAATAAAATCTATTTAACTTATGTCATCCCCCAATTATATTGTTTTAACCAAAGCCTTTTTAAGTAGCAGCAGGAATTGCCTAAAAAAATTTTATTAAAATACATATCAAAGCTCATAAAGATACACAAAATGAAAGCAAACTAAAATATTTACACTATAAAAGTATATGACATAAAACTTTAAAACTCTCATAAGTAGCTATGGAACATATGCCAACCCAACTATAAACTCACAAAACTAACACCCAAGTATTTTAGATAAAATGTATGTTGGACGAGCTCTGCAAAGCTTGTTGGAGGAATAAAAAATTCATAAACAACAAATAAAAAACGACAAAAAAAAACAAGCACAACCTAAAATTCAACAAATTTAAACCTAAACCAAATTTAAACCTTGTGATAATTAAAAACACAAACAAAAAAAACTAAATATAAAAAAGAAGACCTTTGCATACGAAATTTTATTGAAATTAATTCAGAGCAGGTTATTGAGGGCCACCGTTACCAATTGTTTTAAAATTATTGTCTATATAGAACACACAACGCGTATACACACAGAATGCTTTTTGCAAAAATATGTAAGTTTATGAATTTAGAAAATTGTAGATTTTTTGGGATATGTATTTTCTTTTCGCCATGTTGCAAGCTCTTTGCAGTTACTTCTCGTTTAACCAAAAAGTGCGTAGCTAAACCAAAACTAAACGAAAAGAAAAAAACCAAAGACAAGGACAATCTTTTTGCAATTTACCAAAATACAAAAATAAAACAAGCATCGTAATCTGATGACAAAACGAAAATATTACTCTGAATCCTTTTTGTAAAATTAGCTGCTTAAAAACATAGACCACAGAACTAAAGTCAATATTCATCACGTCCAAGGATACTACTTTTGTTGCAAGGAATAGAGACAAGGGCTATAAGAATAAGTATGTGAGGTTATGAATTGCTGAATGTGTGGCCAATATAAGGAATGTACAAAATACACTTTTAAAGATGATAATGGACCCTTAGAAACTATATTCAATTCGTTTTCAAGTAGCTGATCCAGCAAAATCTGTTTAATGTTACGTGTTTACCAATCAATTTGGGGAATGGTGCCTTTTTTCGAAGAATTAACGTTTTATTAATTGCTTAGATGGTTTCAAGCGAAACTTAGTTTTATTTGTTCCCCGTCGGGGAGCCCCACCTTAGTGCCCTACTACGATTTCAGTTCGGGATTGTTTTCCAACTCCTCACGAGCTAATCTGCTGATAAAGCAAAGTAGAAGCTAACGAAAGACCAGTAATATGATAATATATTTAAATAGATCTATAACAATGCCATATGCCATGAAAGTAAACCTTTAATAAACCAAAGCATTAATGAAATTAGCAAACTAACCAAAGAGAAAACTAAATAAAGTTTAAAACGTAACTAAGTTGTGTCTTAGTTGACACAGAACACTTTTTAAATTCTCAATACCCGAAAGCTTTATAATTTGTAATTGTTAAGAACAAATTGTAAATAATAATGAATCAACATTGTTAGTAGTTCATTCGTTTTATCTAATTACACTCGATAATAATTTCTTTATGGATAATATTTGCAAAATCTAGGCAGGTCAAAAAACAAACTGTTAGCTAAAAACATTTGTTATAAAATCATAAATAAAAAAATGCAGAAAAAGGCAACAATTAAAGCCATTGGTACAATTTGAGTTGTCCAATTTATTTAACTTACAAGTAGATTTCTTAAAGATCAATTAAATAACAAAGTCCCCCACAATGCTAACGAAAATAACATTTATAATACCAACTTTTTTTATAATGCACAACCTTGAGCATAATAAAAACCAATTTATTAACATTGCATTCCAAAATGAACATCATGTAAATACACCGACTACATAAACCGAGTCATTAAATTAGTTATAAACGGAATATATTAAAAATAAAAACAGAACAAAAACGAAATTTAAAAAAACAAAACGAACAAAACCGAAAAACTAACAAACAAAGCAGCTTCGCATTAATAAAGATCGTCTCAAACAGAAAACGAAAGATTATTATTAAATAAATTTGAAAACATTGTGGTTTTATTTAAGATTTGGGCTAAATGGTAGATTTTTTGGGAATATCTTTCAGCTTGAACCAAGTGTCATTTTAAACGTATTTTTCATTCTGAAGAAAGAGAAATGTTTTCAACAAAAAAGCGCGCTTTTCAGGTCAATGCACACGAGCCAGAGGCGCAGGCGCAGCCGCATTTGCCGTTAAGACAGGACAACCCCTAAAAGACTTGGAATATAAAAAAAAAAAAACTGTCATTACACTCTAAAAAATTGTATATTTATGAACCATTTTATGTGAGAAATCCTGTTCATGTTGTATTTTCTTTAAGATTATTATTTATACTCTGTTTCTTTAGGCAGGAACTAGGAAAAATTGAATAGAACTCAAGAAATATTTTTTAAAATATTTCGAATTTTTCTCAGTGTAGATCTGGCTGTTGGTTATTCTTTGTTGCCCAGATCTCAGAGACCAGAAATCGCCCTTACCCAAAGTCCTAAGGAAAAAACAGAAAACAGGTTCAGCCAAAAGGTTGAAACTCGGAACTAGCCAACGAGGACAAGTGTTTTGACCCGCGCAACAGCTTCCTTCCGCCCCGCACAAAATGCAACTGTCTTTTGGGTCCGAGATGGGTTTGAACTCGGGGCACGGGACTCGCTTCGTTGACTTCTGCACCTGCAGCAGCAACAGCAGACGGCGGCGATGGCACGCGGTAAACAGCCAAGGCAGGGGCTGGTTGCTGGTTGCCTCCGTCATCTACCTGCAACATGCTGAGATGCAAGCCGCTTGCCACTTGTAATTATTTTCAGCCTTTTCGAGTAAGTGGCCAAAAAGGCAAAAAAAAAAGGTAACAATCTCCCCTCTTTAGGACCCGATGCAAGCGAATTATATTTATTTGTGTGGCTGAAAGAATACGTTACAAATTTCGGATGATGACGGGAAGGGATCGAACACATGGAATGGATATTGGACTTTGGAAATATTTATGTCAGGGTCAGGCTGTTGAGAAGAGCATGTGCGTCTGGTCAATAAGAAAAGAAACAGCTGATGCTGATTGTTAAGAAATGATGATTGATCCTTATGAATAATAAGAAATAATCCTAAAGAATGAGGGGCTTAGAGCGATGTTTGGGAGTGTATTTTCCTGCAGGTGTGTTTAATCTAAAACTATTTAATTCTTAAATATATTTGAAAGAATGTCCTTATTTTCCCGTAACAATCACCCTTTATCCTTAAACCCAACTGGACACCCTGTTCGAATGACCTGCAATCTCTGTTCAGCAATCAACAATAAAACTCAATCATTGCTTGAGCACTGAACTCGACTACAATGAACTTGGGCTGAACCGACTCGTACTCCCCTGTCATTACGAAATTTCCATATATGCGACACATGCAACGCGGGGGCAGTACTACCAAACCAAACCTAGCATACCCCGCTGGGGGGTGACCCTTCCGACACGTGGCGCCACGCAGGCAATTGCATGCAGGACTGCGAATGGACAAAACCTGACGAATTAAAGGAGCCAACGTGGGCATGAGCGTGGGAGGCGTGGCAATTAGCTATAGAAAAATCCAAATAAAAATTAATAACCACCAGCAATTGTTGGCGGGTAGAGGTTCCCACACTATCCACCTACCCAAAAAAAATAAATAGTGGGAATACTAATAATAATCCCCCCGGAGAGTAGCTGGGTGCCATTATAAGGATATTACGAGCATTATGTTTGTTTATTCGACGGACGGTGCCATACCGTGAAATCGCTGAACCGGATCGGGTAACTTAGCCACCCCTAGCTAGCCGTAGTCACTAACAGCTAGTAAGTACAGCCTAACCCGCTCCCAACTCCGATTCCGAATCAATCATTTACATAATCGTTATAGCCACATTCGCCTTTTGGCCCGAACGCGTCACAATTTCACGCGCTTTTCTTTCCGAAATGTACAAGTTGCGTGTTTTTAATTGTTCTTATTTTTTCTACAATTTTTTCTTTTTTTTTGGGTATATTTTCAAATGCAATTGCTAGAACGTTACAAGGGAGAACTATAATGACTTGCAAGAAGTGGCAATTTGTCATATTACCAGATAAGTTGGCACCTGCCATCAAACTTGCCAGAAAGAAGGAGGTTCTACATTCCCTTCCGAAAAAAAACTAATTTCTTTTAGGAGGTTTTATATTCAATCGATTCCTAATGAGCTTGAACATTATTGGATATATTTGTATTGCCCAATCTTAATGAGCCAAAAGTAAAACATATTATAGGGAAAATAGAAGAAAGTAATACAACAATGTTGATATGTCTATAGCTTATAAGGCTTGTATAAAAATCCAGGGCTAGTTTTTCATAACATTTAAGTATGGATCCTAAAGTATGGGTTTTTAAATATGAATCTTAAGCAAAACTAGTATCATTAAAAACCCCTTTTCAGGACTTCAACATATTCCTAAATATCCTTTTTCCCAGAACTCTTAGCCCTATTTTTTAGATTTTTTTTAGTCCTATTTTTTGATCCTGAAAAAACTTCTGTTGGCAACAAATGTACAACCTACGAAAAAATCGAACCGAGAAGCAAATGCTTTCCATTAACAATAAAATACACAGGAAAAAAATATAGGGGGTGGCAGGATATGCTGGGTGAGGGCTTTGAGAGGAGGGGGGTATATAAAAACAAGGCAGAAATTCGTTTTTTATGTACCGCGAGTTTTTTATAGTTTGTTGTTGCTGTTGTTGGTGGCACGTTATCAACAATCTCGTTTTACCAAATAACGCAAAGTGCGCGTCATGGCATTGGTGCACTGAAAAAAAATATAGCCCATAAAGTCATCTTGTTATTTAAGTATTATATTGAAAACTAGCTAGAGGTGAGGGTCATAATCTGACCAATTCTTAACCAACCTAAGGATATATAAGTATAGTGTTCTTTTCCAGTGCATAGGTGAGCTAGTATTGCTGGCGAATCCTGGTGGCGGTGTCCGGGTGTTGGTGCTCCTGGCGGTTACTACACGCCATAGTTCGCTTACGAAATGGGAAGTGCACCGGAGAGCGGAGGGAGTGGTCGCCGGCGAGAGAAGGTCTAGAAGGCTAGGGCTAGTGGAAATTGGTAAGAACACACTATACCGCGCTTATAGCGCATTTTTTTCTCAATTTTTGGTGGTTGCTGCTGGTTGGCCAAAGAAGTCGGTGGCAGCCGTTCAGTTCAGGACGGCTGACGACAGCGGCCCGGGGCCGGGCACCTACCCTCCTCGGACTCTGGCTCGCTTTCTCACTCGCTCCACGGCGACCGGCTGGCGGAGCGACCTGCCCTCCCTCTCGCACTCCGCCAGGTGTGTCCGCATGTCCGTGGGTCCGTCCACAAACGTCGTGGCATGGTGTGCGTTTCTTCGGGCTCGTTCTTTTTGCTTTAAAGTTTTGTGTGGTAGCAAATAAAATTTTAGTTAGTCACATGCCGTCGTCAAGGATACGCCGTTCAGTTATTTGTTGTGCAACGTTGTTCCTGGCAACGAGCCCCCGAGCAAGGACCTGTGCCGTGTGGAAAATTTGAATGCGAGCGCACCGAAAGGCTTTGAGTGCCAGGCTCGAGACAGGGATAGCAGCATTAGCACCTGTCTAGATCTAGAAAAATTTGTGTATATATTATCCGGCCGGTTGGCGGCGCAGCTAGCGTCAACGTCTCCGTCAGCGTCGCTGCCTAGCTCACCTTACATTGCCGCAAATTCAAATTTGAACTTCAGTCAAGTGTCAAAGCTCAAAGGATTAGCATGTCCTTGCAGCTGCAGCATGAAACTGGCCCATCTTAAAAGTGTGAACAAGTGAAACCATCAAGAAGAACTACTCCCAAATCTCCACAAAAAACCCATTAAGTTGCCAAAAACTCTTAAGCCAGCAACTTTAAAACTTACGATAAATAATAACAAAGGACACCTATTCAGAGACACACTTTTAGGTAAGCGATCTCAGGTGATCTAGAGATGATTTGTGTGATTTTCAAAACGAATATTTTGGACTTGCTGCTGTCTTTGAATCTTGGCACTGGGAGAATTCACAGTTGATTTTATTATTCTGTGGTTCTGCGGGTGCCAAAATTGAAATAATGGCTTAAAACCTCAAAAAATTAAATATTTTTAAAATAACATAGTTTGAACAGATCTTTACTAAGGCTTGGACGTATAGATTAGAAAGGATACACTCATTGATTCTATTAGAAGCGAAGATTCTAAAGAAAGGTTTACTTCTAGATTTCAAGTACTATTTAAGTATGTTTTGGAATCAAAAACTTAAAAATAGTTTTTCCAAAACCCCTTAAACTTCGAAATCAAATCTCAGTAATATGAGATTATTATTATTATTACGCAATATTACTCATACGCCCCCCCATTACCCAGCCCCCCACAGAACTGCTAACGTCACGACTGCGTTGGGTCCACTATTTTCATTTTAGAGTCCGCTGCGCAGTACCCAAACAAAATTAATTTCTCCCCAACACGCAATCAAAAACTAAAAGCAATCGGTCAGGGGAAGGGAACACGATCAATTAAATAGACTTGGAGCTAAAATTGTGAAACAGTTAAAAATATAATATTCCTTGAGTGAAACCTAATCGGTGGCTAAACTTGAGAGACATTGAACTTTTGGGGTCAGAAAGCATTTCTAAACTTGGCTAAGACCTGTCCATAAATGTGTAATACGGGGTGGTTGGGTGGTGACCACTGGCCAGCCACCCCATGGAAACAATTAAATGCAATGCCTGGGGAGGGGTTTAGTTCAGTAATTGACCTCGCCGCAAGGAAATTTACATTTGAACTTATCTTGATTGGAAATTACATTTTTAAATGAATGTTGGCATGTCCAGGTGTCCAGTGTAATCAAAGGCAGGACATACAACCCAAGGATACCCCAGCAGGGTGTGAGTGTGCACTCGAATGCAGATGGAACTGCTCCACTGGTAGCTCATTTCTCTAATAGACTTGGGGGCGTGCTCTCTGACACATGTCCGGAGAGCAAATAAATATTTAATGATGAAATTCTAAAAAGTTGTTTTCGAATCCTTGGGGATTTCCTAAACGTAGCATTTATAGTCGAATTATAATGGATGATATGAAAAAGTTATTTCTAATGTTTCCCCTATTATTTTTCTGGGAAAGTTCTTAATCAATATTCCCCACAATCGGAGGAAGATCCCACAGCAATTTGTTGAACAAAATCTTTTCGCACTCGACCTGCCAATCTTTATAATTTGAGCTCCTCCGCTGCATTTTCCGGCGGCATAAATTAGCATTAATTCATAAGTCACTAAGGGCTGCCAATTCCAATGCAAAAAAAAAAACAGGAAAAATGAAAATGAAGCAGCAAGGAAAATGTTTTTCGGCTGCAAAACAGAATTTGCATACAAACTGCAGGACTCGTAGAACGTACGCCCCCCGAACAACAAATTACGTGGGGCCCGTACACCGAGGGTTACAGGGTCTATGCCTAGATGGGTTAGATTGGCGAGGGGCGGGTGGTGTAGGCTCAGGCGGGGAGTACGACAGGCTAAATGCCGGCAATGTTCCTGAATAATGGGCCACCGGCGCCAACTGACGTTGGTAGGCAATTTTGTAGGAATCTAGATGGGGTTCCACTCCACTACGGTGGAGTGCAACTACGAGTATATATTGTAAATGCCATATGTGTTGAATATATATACATATACCTGAGAACCGGGATACGTGGATACCTATGTGGCTAACTGCTGCATAATTTATTTAATCGCGGGGAACAAATCTAAATTGATCGTTAGGCGTAGGCGAACACCCAACTGAGCCAACAAAGTATCTAACAAGGATATTGCATGTTCCCCATATATATTAATCGACTTTTTTGTGTTATTTTTTCTACTTCGTTGCAGTGCCAATTAGCGAGAGAGGTTTTAGCTTTTCGAAAAGGAAACGAAGAATATGGCGCCACAACAACAGAACTCAACATTCATCGATGATAATCTGGACAGCTGTCCATCGCTATTGAATCTACCAGAAAGCCCCATCCTGCCGCCACGTCGATGTCAAAATCAAGACACCAACAATAACAATAATAAGCGGGCTGCATCGCCACCTAGGATGGAGCCGCCTCCTCAGCCCGTATGCAAAAATAAACACGGCAAGGCAAACGGAAACGGTGGCCAGGCTCGGCGCCATCGTTCCATTTCCCTCTATGGCGTTAATATCACTGTGGTAAGTGCACCTCACACTACCGCACTCCCACCTCTGCCTCTACCTATGCCCCTGCACTGACCCCTTCTCGTCTGAAATCCGGTTGCGACAGCTTTTTCACTGAAATCAAACAAATCATCTAATTGGGTGGGCAGGCGCCCCAAGTTAGTCATATGCATAAGCAGGGCCACCTGCGGGGAGCCTGCTATACGGGTACCGTTTTGGGGGTGGAAGGGGCTCCAACCCTGAAAAAAAGACCTTAGGATTAGTCAGATTATTAGGCTTTTTTAAAGTAGTTTTATAAGTACATAAATGAAAGTTAATCATGGTTTTTTTAATATTTAATGCCAAAGAATCCTTTGTATCCTTTACATAGTTAATTGTTTTCTTAGTAAATACCGAATAGTTTAAAGTTTAACTCTGGTGCCGGTTCTTAAGTTAATTTTTATATAAAATCTATTATCCTTAGCCCTCCCTAAAAACAATATTTTATTAACGAAAGGAAGCTACCATGTATTTTTCAAAATATTTAAGGTTAGGTTGATCTAATCTACGTGTTCTAGGTTGTAGGACCTCTTTTACTCCTTGAGCTCCTTTACTCCTCCTAGTTTTGAAATATTAAACTCATCATATTATTTTATGTCTTCCTCCAAAAAAAAAACAGGAGCAGGGCCACAAGGAAATCCCCATTTGGATGGACGACGGCGAGCCCCGTTACGTTTCGGGAGTTACGAACAAGACCACATGCAATGACATAATCAAGGCCCTGATTGATGACGAATTGAGAAATAGCGACGGCGGGAATTACTGCGGCAATCATAATAATTATAATCCAAAAGGTAAGTCAATATTTCCTTTTATAGCCGATCCTCTCGTGACTTCAGTATCACAACGTCAGGAGTTATTTATTTACGCTTCTTATTTACCATTATTCTCATTTTTTTTCTGTGCTCTTCTGTTCTTTTCGTTTCATTTCAAATTTTTCTGTGCGGGTTTTTCGTTGTTTTTACCGTTGGGGCGAAAAACAAGATGGCGGCGACGACGGCCATAGGAAGAGAACGACGGCAGCATCGCGTGACTACGGCGATTACATTATAACGGAAAGTTGGGGCGGCATAGAGCGCAGCTACGATGGCAACATGGCCATTTTGCCCGTTTGGCGCGCTTGGAGCCGTGTACACAATGAGGTAATAACCGGGCCGGGGGAATCCCACCTGGCGTGCAGAAAAAAAATGCCCAGCTAACTGGCTGGGCCAAAAAGCGGCTCTATGAAAACAAAAAACAAAAAAAACATCTACAGTGATTGCATAATAAGCGCTTTTTCTGGCGCCACACGCAAGCCAAGAAATGTGAAATTCATGTCGTTTTCAAATCCCACTCTACTGGGGGTTTTTTGTTGTACCCTCCCAATAGTCACACCCCCCACACATTTAGATATTTTTCCGATTGTACTGTTATTTGACTTATGCTCTACCTTTTCGTATTTATTTGTTTATGACGCACCAAATGGAATCAATTTGCCTATTGATTTTTATATTAAACTCCTTGTTTTGCTTCAGCTTAATTATGCTGTGAATTTTTTATGATTCCGGAGTCATTAGGGATTAACTTTTTTCGGTGCTAGAACAACTTTTTTTAATTACTATTTAACGATGTAGTCTAATCGAAAGAATACGAAAGTTTTCTATAGAATTAAGAAATTCGAATCAATTTTCGATGCCTAAATTAACTAAATATTTATTTATTTTGCAGCTCCGTTTATCATTGAAGCATCGTGACAATTTCCAGGACCCCCTGACGATGCAATTAGTGCCCCATGCTCCTCCACCAGCCTGCTCATCGACCTTCTCCATGATCAAATGGCTGAAAAAGATGTTTAATCCTAGCAAACACAAGAAGACCCCCAAACTGCCAAAAACACCTCCAAAGGTGCCCAATAAAGTGAAAGAGAAGTGCCTACTCACCAAAAAGCAGGCAATACCCGATGAACTGGTCCTGGTTATAATGCCCGATCAGTTCTATAATGGAAAGAAAAGTGGAAACAAATCAAAGCTCTATAAACTGGCTGAAAAACAGCGTGTCTCAAAGCAGCGACTACGTCGACGAAGCTGTCGTGAAAAAACTGCATCTTCTCTAGAATCCTTTCAAACAGCCATTCCAAGCGAATGCAATAATAACAATAATGTCAATAATAATTGCATCAGGAGGCGCAAGGATCGGCCGCTGAGAAACAGTGTTCGCAACAAGTTGGCGGCTCTTCATGCCGATATGAATATCCGGTACGAGAGGGAGTACGCTCTGACACGACAGCTTTCCGAAAAGTGCCGGCTGTACCGGATGCAAAATGAGCGGTACAAAAGACCGGAAATGGAGGTATCGGTGGGGCAATTGCAGCAGAATATCGAAGCTTATGCAGAGGACATTATAAAAACTGAACACGAACTGTTAGAGCTTAAGAACGAAATGAAACACGACATATCGCTAATAAATAATCTGAAACGACTGACTTTGGAGCACACGGAAGCCGCTAAGGAATCCGGAGTGGGTCCAGTAAAAACTGAGACTCGGCCACCCAATGAATTCAAAAATACACCTCAAGTTGCTAAAAAGACACCCGAAATGCAGTTTGTCGATAATATATACGAGTTTTGCGACAATAATGCAAGCATGTTGGTTTAATTGTACATAGATATAACTTGTTAAGTTTTATAATCAATAAAAATTATTTTGTATACATTTAATGGTTATTATTTCCTTGGAAAATCAAAAAACATGTATTGGGACTTTGATATTCTATTATTTTATTGTATAGGCACCAAAAAACATGATATTTTCAAATATGAAATATTAAAGATAAAAGAGGAGGTAAAAATAAGCAAATAAAAGATAACGTAGATTATAATTTTATCCATAGACTTCTTTTTCTTAAATCAAAAGGCTTCTAGTTAGTTTGATTAAAATCTGTGCTTCCATGCAATTGATTTACAAAAAAATGTAACGGTAGATATATTTTTGAAATATTTAATAATTGAAAAACCGTCAAATGGCAGCACCGATAGTCACGACTATCGGTAACAATCTTAAGAAAAAAAAAACAACGTGGCAACAATACGTATTTTACAAATGGCAGCACTGTCAGCGCAACACAACTCCTACTAATTATTAAATTTCTAAAACGGAACGTCAACAATTTCGGGTAGCAAAACAAAAACACATTTCGACAAACCGAATTTGACTTAAATCTAAAGGCTCCACCTCTTGCACGGATCCCATCCAGTTAATAAAGGTAAGCCAGGTGGGACAACAAAATAACGTGGTCGCGAATCACATTTTCCTCCGCCTCTGCCCAATTTTTTGCGGTACGAGGCATGCGGGTGAGGCTTTGTTGTTGCAGCCGTCGGAGTACAGTGCCGTGTCACGTTTTATTTTCAATCTGCGATCTTCGGCGGTGCTGCGAATAGATTGGCAAACGCGTTTCCTGTGCAGATAATCCCTGTACGTGTGCACTCTGGGTCTCGGTGTGGGGGCGAAAGAGAAAGTAACGGCGCATCTGCCGTCTTTGTTGTAAATCCCGTTTGAGCCGCCTAGAGCCAACAACAAACAAAGCAACGTACTCGGCGCCAACCAACACACTACTTGATTATTGATATATTAACTTGTACTTTCTTCTATCCCTCTATGCTGCGAAGAACAAGAAATGGCTCGCGGACACCAGAAGATCCAGTCACAGGCTAAGGCGGCGGAGAAGCAGGCCAAGATGAAGAAGCAGCAGGGCCACAGTGCTAACGACCAAAAAAAGGCTGCCCAGAAGGCGCTCGTACACGTCTGCGCCGTGTGCAAGGTGAGCAGGGCACTCCAAGTCAAGTCAAGATTCTCCAGAAGCTAGTCCGCGAAACTTTATTAAGAAAATCTAGTTTTTTGTTAAATATTCTGTATGAGATACAAGCTGATATTTGTATTTCTGCTATGTTTGCACACTTTGTCAGTTTATTTGATGAATATCCGTTTATTTTAATAAGAAATATCGTAAATATCGTAACGTAGATAACAGAAACCACAAATATTTATCCTTCATAAGCAGTTTCTTTAATTTCTGAGTCAGCCAAGAGAGAAGTTTTGAAATAGAAGACCAGACTAGGTGACCAAAATATATATTTTAATCGAATTCTTTATTTTTTAGTCGCAAATGCCCGATCCCAAGACTTATAAGCAGCATTTCGAGAACAAGCATCCCAAGAACGATATGCCGGAGGAGCTGAAGGATGTCTGATGCCCAACAGCCATTTTGCCGCGGGCACAACACATATTTATATCAAGCTGAATCACGAGATCGAGGACGACGAGTTGCCTACCAGTACGAAATCTTGGCAACAATAACTTTACATCAGCCCGAAAAAGAACAGCTACAATCAAGCGGAAGCCAAGCCAAGGGTGGATGATAATAACAACAATAAGTGTAATATTAATAGAAATTACCAATGCAAGGAGCGCAGCTGAATTTTTTGTATACACACGGCTGACTTTTGGTTTTGGTTTAAGTTTTTACATTGAAATTAATACAGTATACAATTGTTCAATGAATGGCTACAACACACGGAAAAAAACCCTACCACATATTATAGCAATATTTACGTTTGTTTTCGTTTTTATTTTAACCAAAACGTTCCCTCTCTAAGAAAACCAGTAACTTGAGCCGAAATAATAATCACAATATGCTCCGTTTTTTTTAATTTTGTTTTATGGAACAACGATTATTACAATATTTTATAGTTTTATACAATTTATGCCAGAAAATGGGAGAACACGATGTTTTGTACTATAAATAATTGAGTAAATCATGTAAATGAGAATTTATAAAATCAATAAAAAAAGGGAAAAACTTGTTAAAATCATGCGTCATGTTGCTGCAACAGCATTGTCATATTTGTTGTTCCTAAAGCTAAAATTTAAATGCAAAGCATTCCTGTCTAAGGTTCCTATACTGTACTTGTACGATTTGACGGTTAGTGTAAAATTAGTCTATATATGTATACCCTGTAAAAGCCACCAATTCCCCATATTCAAACCTAAGACGGGCTTTTAGAGGTGTTGGGACTGTCCTCTGTAGATGGATTCGATTTAAGTGGGAGAGCCTCTTCTGAGGAGAGTTGCATGAAGACTAAATCTTCTTTGGCCGGAAAGTCTGCAAGTACTGTAATTCCAATGTTGTTTTCCGGCAGTTGAGGCGTATCTTCGTGGTATCCGAACCAGTAGATGATAATGCCAGGACCGAAACTAGAAGATCATAACAATAAAATTGTATTTATGCCAACTATTGAACATCCTACCGGTTGCAGTAGCTTTGCAGTTGCTGCTGAATGTTGAACTTGTGTCCTTTGGTGTCCCCAAAGTTGGCCTTGCTCTCGATCCAGTTGATGACCTGTCCTTTGTAGAGGAAGGGAAGGATCATCTTTATGTCTGGAGTCTTGTCGAACCCCATGCGTCGTAGGTCCCGCTCGTCGTAAAAGTGGATGCCTGCCTCCGTGGCCATTGTCTTCAGCTTCATTTCGTACTCCTCGCCGATGAGGCGACGCCGCAGGTCCGTGATGGGCCCCTCCTGGTTGTCGCTGATTACGCACTGCTGCACACAAGCCGCCAAATGGGGTTCGTCGATGAGATGCGGGTTCTTCAGAAGCCGGGATACTTGGGACCGGTGACGGCTCTTGTACTTCTCCTGCAACAGCATCCGACAGAGAGCCACTGGATTTATACACTCCACACAGGACATCTGGATGAGGAGGGCGTCATCGTACAGGTCCTTCTGTGACTCATACCTAAAAAATGCTTGGGGTGAGCTCAGCTACATGTCCTTTTATTTCAAAGATTAGCCTTACGCTTTCAGCAGTTTCTTGGCTCGCTGGTCGTTCTTCGAGTGGTGGCCGCGTGATCTATTGAAGACTTCCGATTGCAGGATGCAAGTTAGTGCCATCGGATCCACGTCCTGGAAGATACGATTCCTCAGCTCGTACTCACAGTCGATGGCCAGGCCACGGTAGCGGCTGATGAATAGGCAAATGCGTTGGTATTCGACATGGCTGAGGACCTTTCTCTTGGTCGGCACATCCCCTCCAGACATGTTTTCCAGGTATTAAAAGTGCTGGTACAGCTGTTGTAATTTATTGCAGTATTTGAGCTAGGGTTGTCTACAATATTCCAAATATCGATATTTCCCTATCGGTGAAGTAGCCTGCCTATCGATAACAAAGGCGGGAACTCAAAAGCCTATTTTGTTAATTTGAAAGCTATTTTCGAACAAGCAACTGGTTTGTAAAACTGCAGATTTAACTTTAATTAAGATATATTTTATTTGTATATATCCTTACACTTAGCACGGGTTTACGATCCATTTTCACATTGTTAACACTTTTATTATTTAAATTATGTACTTTTGTTTTCCATTCAATAGAACTACAAATTGTTATTGTTTATCTTCCCATAGTGTCTGCGGATATTTCTCGGGTGTGTAAGAGTGTACCACTTATACCTAGAATATTAATAAGATTGGTTTTGTTTGTAAATGCTATTCTTATTTATCATTTTGGAAGATAAGTTCTTTCCCATTTGCTCGGTTTAACAACAGGTTTTTTTAAATAATTACAACGTGCGCAATAAAGATAAACTATATGAGATACTGAAGCGTACAATAAATAATAATTTTGAAAATAAATAAATATTGGTGTAAAAATGCAACAAATAAAAGAGTTGTTACTGAGAGACTCCTTTCTTCGGCTCTCCCTTCGGTTAGCAATTATTTCGAGTACGTTCCATCGAGTACGGCTCGAGGGTCAAACTTGGTTCAACAATAATAATTCTATTCAAACGTGACCTCTTCCCGACTAAAAGGTTGCGCGTTCTTACGATCTAGGAGTAACAATATTAAAATTTATAGGCTTATATGTTGATCTTATGGCTAGGCGTAGACTTTAAGTGTAATTGTTAATTTTACTATTGAAATGTTTTGGGCTAGCTCTAGACTTTGTTCTTTTGTAGGGGTATTTTTTAAGTGATTCTTTTAAGCTTGAGAAGCTATTATCTCTGTAACGGATCAAGTAAGAGCTTCCTTGATCGAATCGTATTATTATTTATATTAATCTTGACTTGGCTAAAAGGTAAATACAGCAATAAGTTGGTCAATCGAAATATTGCACCTGTTTGATGTCTTATTTCGAACAAACTTTCATCAATTCGTTTCTTAGGGCTATGTTATTAAATACCAAATCGTTACTTGACTTTAGAGCTCATTGTTTTAAGATGTACAACTAGTCGAATTCGTTTCTATGTTAATATTTGATTCCGTTTTGTTATTTTTTGAAAGAAGGCATGGTTATGGGCTAGCGATTTCCATGAAATTCAAACCAGCAACACTTAGATATTTGATTTGTTTTTTTTTTGTTTTTAAATATAAAACTGATTACGATACGGTGTACTATCATTTAAAATTACGTACGTAGTGATGGGGAGGGTGTGATTGCAATTGAATTGGGGTACAAATTTAATCTCTAATACTATTTAGGGAAGGCTAACATACGCGCGATTCAGGTTTCCCTAAAAAAAAAACAATTAACAATTAATACAATCCAAATACACTGCTAAACAATCAATTGAGAGTGGGAATTCGGGGTGATTCGGGGTTTTAGACAATTAGTTTTGGCTTCGATTGCGATTTTTCTTAGAAGAAATGCGGCGGCGGCAACGTTTGCGATGGCAAAGTCGACGTCGGCGGCTGCTGCTCCCATCAGACAACAGAATCCTTGCGAATCCTGGATACGTAAGCATGTGTTCGAAACGGGGGAATAAATCGAGAGAAACAAACAACAGAAAATTTCGTCAGAAATGGAGTGATTTGGAGTTGCATTAGTTAGAGGAGGTCTGCTGCTTAAAACTGTTTTCGCACCACATATAGTTCTCAGTCTGGGGTGCTCGCATCACACCCACGCCACCGCCAAGCCGGCGGTAGTTCATGCATCCGCAGAGACGCCACTGGTTCGTCTCCGGGTCGTACACCTCGATAGTCTTCAGATAGGCGGAGCCATCGAAGCCGCCCACCGCGTACAGCTGTCCGTTCACCACAGCCAGGCCGACCTGAAATTAGGGTTTACAATACAATCCTCTGGAAATGAGAAGTAAAAGCTACAAAACTCACCCCACTGCGGCGCGAGGTCATGGCCACAATCGGGCTCCAGGTGTTTGTGAGAGGATTGTAGCGTTCGGCGGACGAGAGCTCCATGCAATCGTCCCGCCCGCCGACGGCGTAAATGTAGTTGTTGAACACGGCGCAGCCCAGATGCTTGCGGCGCGTGGACATTGGACTGACGGCCACCCACTTGTTGTGTCTGAAACGGAAAGTTTGTTTAAATTCTTGAAAAACTCTGGGAAGTAAAGGAAACTCACCTGGGATCGTATCTCTCCACAGTATTCAAAGGACACTGACCATCGGAGCCACCGATTGCGTAAAGGAATCCACCTAAAACAGCCACAGCCACGCCGAGGCGTCGTGTGGTCATAGGTGCCACCTTGGACCACTTGTTCTCCTTGGGATCATACCGTTCTACGTGGTTCAAGCACTGTACGCCATCCTGGCCGCCAACGGCGTACAAGAAGCCGTCAAGCACGGCAACACCCACGCTGGTGCGGCATGATGTGGTGGGTGCAACGTCGCAGGACCACTGGTTTGTCTGCGGATCGTACCGCTCGATGCTGTTCAGGTAGCTCTGTCCGTCGTGGCCGCCCACGGCGTAGAGAAGATCGTTAAGCACGGCCACGCCTACACCGCAGCGACGCTTGCTCATGGGAGCGACCATTTTCCAGTCGTTCGTCTGCGGATCGAAGCGTTCGACAGAGGCGATGGCGTCGCCGGAGCACCAGCCGCCCACAGCGAAAAGCACCTCCCCACGACGCGTCGGTTTACGGGGCCGAGTACGCGGGCCCTGCATCAGTGGACGCTCCTGCGGTAAAAGCAGATAGTTCTTGGCCTCGTCCACCAGGTCGCGGCAGGCCTCGTCGCTGCGCACGAGCAGATCGGATCCGACCGTGCCGACCAGGAACTTTGGTGAGAGTAGCGGCAGTCGGACGTGTTGAAGGACCTGAAACGAAGGGGGAATACATTAATTATATCGTCTTTGAAAAATACTGAATACCCCTACCTGTGGGAGGTGCTGCCGACGCTCGGCGACGTTGTACTTGAGCCAAGACATGACCGCGTTAAAGACTTGCTCCTCGGAGCGCACGTTCAGCTCATCGCTGCAGATAATGTCGACTAGCTGGCCGACGGGCAGAAGCAAGAACTCCTCGCTCTCCATGACCTCTTGAAAGTTGTGCTGCGTGAACTTGTCGGCGATACGAAGCAGTTCCCGACAGGAGTGAGTATCGGCAAAGGCGCGTATGCCCAAGCAGTTGGTGGGATCCAGTTGGCGCTTGAGGAACTCGCAGCATATGTCCTGGATCTCGACCAGCTGGAGTAGGCAGGCGGCCGGCAGAAGAGTCTGGACGTTGGACTCTTCGACGATGATGTGGGCGGTGTAGCAAAAGTCGATGAGCAGCTCCATGGCGTTCTCATCGATGTCTCGAATTGTGACCTCCGTCTGGCGGGACTCCTCCAGTTCCCCGGTGAACATGGCACAGAAGTAACTGCTGCACGCGGAGAGAATCACTCGGTGGGCGAATATCTTCCGCCCACCAACGTTGAGCACCACGTCGCAGAGCTCTCGGTGGCGCCGAAGCATGTTGAGTTCCGAGAGCGTGACCTTGGGATGCTTTTCCGATGTGTGAGAGAGCCTGGCGGGCGACGGCGGACGCTCCAGGCCCGTGGAGCCAGTGGAGGAGCCTGGGCCGGTGGTGGAGTTACCATTTGTTCCGGCGATGGTCGGTCCTCCTCCACCATTACCACCGCCGCCCACACCGCCGCCGGTGGAGCCCGGCAGATCGCCCATTCTGTTCGCTGCTAAACGCAGCGGGCCGGAAGCAACCCAACCCCACACGGCGTCTATCTGCAAAGTAAAAACACAAGAAGTCGTTAGAAAATTACTGTTTTAGGTATAATTCCAACAAATTGAGACAATTCGGACTTATTTTCCTTTCCTTACACTTTTTGCACCGCCCACACACAGACACGGTATGTAACCCACCCACACATACACACCAATTCCAGAACACATGTCCGATAGGGTGGACATTTGTGTAAACTGCATTCGAATATGCAATGATATCACAAATAAATATTTGTCTATTTTTTTTTTTTAATTTATAGTGCTTCTTTACGTTATTGTTTGCAAATATATTTAAAATTAAAAGAATTTTAGAAAAGCCTTCCAAGACACAGAATATTATAATCCTATAAGACTTACACTAACTTTTGACAGTTGTTAACCTAATAATATAACTACTTAGTCTTTTATTACTACGTATACAAGATACAAGATATTTTTTTTTGCATTCCCTCCTAGTCTTAAGACAGATCCACCTTAAAGTTTACACAACACAAGTCCACCCAAATGTGCAAACACACGCGTAAGAAATACATATGTGTATGGTGTCCCAACCTTTGCGTCTCTGTTCTCCACGGATACAAAGCACGTCCAGGGCCAGCTGCAGGCGGAGAATTTCGAAAATGCAATCTTGCTGCTTGCTTAAATCGACCTCATCGAAGATTTTCCTGCGCAAATGCACTTTTCAGACGCGTTAACTAGATTTTTTTATTCCCTGGAAAAATCGAAACACGATTGGTATATAGTCCGCTCGACGTTGCCAGATGGTTGTCTTTAACTACCAGGGCTGTCAAGATTTTCCAGTCGTGAGCAAGAGCTGCCAGATCATTTGTCAACTTGGAATTCCTTTTTTCTGGCCGCAGTCTAGAAATTATATAACTCGTTACAATGAGAAATATGATTAAATTTCAAAGAAAAATGCTATTTTTTACTATCGGTAGTTTTTTAATGTGACCCTAACATTTAGTTCCTACAGCTGTAGTTTCATTTTTTTGCCGTCAGAGGCGCTACTAAAGATTTGGACTCATCGATAAGTTCAATCGATATTTCTCCACCTCTAATACGCGACGCCGAGGAAAATTTCCAGAATTTGAGGACGCAGCTATAGTGCAAAATAGTGCAAATAGTTACTAAATTTAAGTGAAACGTGTAAATAGAAGCATACTGGTCGCGTCTAGTGTGAAGGGTCTATGAAAAACGAGTGGAAAGTACGTGAAAACAAGCAAAAACGCAAACGCAATAAAGGCCAGGTGTAAGTGTGTGCGTACGAGTGTTTCTCTTTTCCTTCGCCTAAAGTGGAGCGCACTCAATTATTTGTGGATGGCTCTCCACAACAACAAAGTCTCGAGATCAAAAAAAACAAATGCAAAAAATGTTGAGGCAACGAAAGGCGAAAGAACAATAACGAAGGCGAAAGCGAGACAATGTAATATAAAAGAAATTAACGCATTAAACAGAGTACAAGCACAGCAGTTGCAATTGCATTGGAAATTAAAATTCGTGCGACAGAAGCGGACGACGTTGTAAAAATACGTGACAAATCGCTTACACAGACACAGCCACACATACACATACACACACATTCACACTCCCCCACCACATAGCAATCACACACATAAGCGAAAGAGAGACTGAAAGAGGGAGATAGATAGGGAAGGAAAGAAAGAAAAAGAGGCGAACGTGAATTAACAAACAAACAAGAAATATTTTCGCAAAAAAGACAAACACAAAAATCCAATAAAGTGTATTACATAAATAAACACAGCGCCAGCGACCCCAAAATATTATGGAAATAACTGCTGCCTCAGTCTCTGCCTCAGCCAGCGTCAGCGTCAGCGGCAAGGAGAACGATAACGGTAAGCTTGGCCTCAAAGATTGATAAGCGGGGCTTTCGAAATGGATCCACAATAAACAACAACAACAGAAAGAAAGAAGCGAAGCAGTCGAAGAATACAGTTTGACTTCCCTAAAGTGACTGCAACTAATTAAAATTGTTTCTCATTTTATTTATAAGTAAAAAAACTATATAAAGTGTTATCACTGTCGTATATCAAATTAGTTGTCATTAATTATGCAAGCTTGTGTAAAATTTGTAAAATATTGTTTATTGGAAAAATAAAAAAAAAAAGAATATCTTTCAAGCAAGATTTAAGACATTAAAATTATTATCCTTTTTTGAAATCGAAATAATTCATTTATTGGAAGTTTGACTGTATCACAGAGTACAGACATTTTACCAACACACACACCCACCACAGCCAACAGCCAAGAGCGCTTGTGCATGTATGTGCATGTTGCAACACTTTTCAGTTTTCATAGGAGGAGGTCGCTGAACTGCGCCTCTAAGTTGTTTTTTTTCTCAATCGCTTTTAGAGGCCAGCCAAGTAGCAACAACAGTGGCTATCGCAACAGTAATAGTTTTTTGCCTTTGTCTCCGGCCGTTGGTTGTTGCGCAATAGCCAGCGTAGATCATTGGCCAGCCGATAGCGATTACTCAGCATTATTATCAAGGTGCTCCCATAAGGTAGAGTTTGGCAGACAGCTTGGCAGCTTCCTAGAAGTTCTATTGGTAAAAGGGGCTATAGCTGGAGGTCTGTAACTATGTATATTATACCTTCCTTTCTTAAAAACTAGTGACTTTGACACTTCCCAGGGTCACCACAAAAATGAAATCCCTACACTCGCCGATAGCTAGATATCCACCCATAAGTTGAGCATTTTTTTTTTTGTCAAAATGCCATTACCTAGAAGTTTTTTCCAACTTATCGGCTAGCGTGTCTGTATTTATATTTGTTTTTCTATTTCAAGTCAACAATCTGACGCTACTCGCCTCGCTGACGTTACAAAAAGTGCTGAATATCAAAAGCAACAACAGCGATACTCAAATACAACAGAAACAGCAGCTACAGCAGCAGCAGCAGCTACGACAAAGCCTCAATATAAGCGATAATAACGTATTGAACGAACTGCTTAAAAATGGAGCTGTATTCACAAAATCCGTTACCACACCCACAGCGCCCATTGCCATTGAAAGAAAGAGGCAGCCCCAGCAGCAGCAGCCCCAACAACAAAAACATCAGAATAGCGCACAGAAACAACGACTCAACTCATCCATATCATCGACCAACTCATCCACATCCACAAACTCCTCGTACGGCAGCTCGTCAGATGATGCAGCTGCAGCTGCAACAACGGCCACAACACTTGCAACACCAAGGACAACAACAGCAACAAGAACGGCAACCACCACGAAGGCGTCCAGCATTAAATTGCCAGAGAAATCGAAAATTCCGTCCGATATACTCGATGATCTGGCCAGCCGTTTCATCATCAACGTACCGGACATGGAGCTGAACAATCTAATCCGAATCTGTTTCCAAATCGAGCTGGCCCATTGGTTCTACTTGGACTTCTTCTGTGCCCCGGCAGCTAGTGACGATGCCGAGTCCCAGAAGCAGACCCAGATCGCTCGGAAGCTGCCGGTTGTGGGCATTAAGCAGTTCGCGATGCAGTTGTTCCAAGTACGTTTGCAAGATTACTTAGGTATTTTATATTTCTGACCATTTTCGTCCTTTTCCGGCAGCACATTCCCTTCCTGAACAAGCACTTTGGCACTGTGGACAAGATCCTGGACGAGTGGAAGAACTACAAGATGTCGGTGCCCACATATGGCGCTATTCTGGTTTCCGAGGATCACAATCATTGTTTGCTAGTGCAGTCCTATTTCGCCCGAAACTCCTGGGGCTTTCCCAAAGGCAAGATCAACGAGAACGAGGATCCAGCCCACTGTGCCACAAGAGAGGTAAGCTGTACCCTTCCTTACATAGCCATATACTAAGCCATGTACATACTTGCAGGTTTATGAAGAGACCGGGTTCGACATCACAGACATCATTGACGCCAACGACTACATCGAGGCCTTCATCAACTACCAGTACACTCGTCTATACATCGTGCGGAACATACCGCTGGACACGCAGTTTGCGCCCCGCACCCGGAATGAGATTAGGTGCTGCGAGTGGTTCCGAATCGATTCATTGCCGGTGAACAAGAACGATGCCATATCGAAGGCCAAGCTGGGAAAGAACGCCAACTCCTTCTTCATGATCATACCGTTCGTGAAGCGCCTCAAGAAGTGGGTCAACGAGAGGAAGGCCGGAATCGAACCGCGTCGCCGCAAGTGCTCCGGTCAGCAGTCCCCAAAGGCGGCTTCGCCCACAAACATCAACGGGAGTGGCAAGAAGGATTTGGCCGCGGGGCGGAATGCATCGAGGCGCCAGCGGCACAAGTCCATGGGCGACTTGGATGGCGTCAAGTTGAACAATCTCAATGGCAAGCCGGCCGGTCCAGGATCAGCTGCTCCTGCTCCGGCGGCTGCGGCTATAAAAGCCATGAACATCTGCAATAGCAATGGGAAGCGCAATAAACCGAATGGGGCTGCGGGCAGCAATCAGTCGACGCCAGTCACCACACTAGTGGCTGCAAAGGGAGGAGGAGCGGGAGCCACTGTCTCCTCAAAGCGTCAGTTATTCCACAGTCAATCGCAAAACGATGCACAGCAGCCAGTAAGCAATGACAAGGTAAGGGAGTGCATCATTTTGGAAATGTGCATCATTAAAGCGATGATTTTTCTGGATTTCCTAGCAGATTGTTAGTTCTTTCGATTTGATACGCATTGAGGAGCTGCAACTGAACGCAGCTAAGGTCCAGCAGCAGCAACGATCACGCAACATGTCCCAAAGCGAGAATCAGCAGCCGGTTATCAAGCAGAACATGGGACATCAGCCAACAACAGGCGTAGACTTGATAGCCATGCTATCCGCCGCAGCGGCAGCTCAGAGGACACCACAGACCGAGCAGCCGCAGCCACAGCAACAACGTCCGCGGCCAGCTTCGGTGTCGCTGAACTTTGGAGAGAGCCATGCGGCAACACCGACAGGCCAGGGCTCGCAAGACATGCACCGGTTACAGCGCATGGCCTCGGGCACCAATTTAAGGATTCTGAAGCGAGCACAGTCGCAGCAGCCGCCGCAGCAGCAGGTGCAGCAGCTGCCACAACAGCCGCCACCAGGCGCTGCTGACTTTACGCCAAACTTCAACTCGTGGACAAACTTCTCATTCACCAAAAACTTTATAGCAAATGTGTTTTGCTAAACCTTTCATTTCAAAACTTTTAGTGACCATTCATCTTTAAAAAATTCTCATAAAATGCATTTCCCAGCGAAAAACTAGGTTACAGGGAACTCTCGATAGGCAGCACTCTCTCTTGTAGGCTCTGCATAGCTGAGGCAACAAACTAATAGAAGCTTTGGAGACTTGCGGGTAAAAGAAACCATGCCAATTGCATTTAACAAGTTCATTTGTTACAAAACTAACACTGCAACTATTTTAGACAACTAATCATGTCTAGTCCTAGGCTTTGGAGACTACGTGCAAGGATAGAAGTATCGTTTCCTGATCTCCTCAACAAGTGGGGGGGATTTGAATTTTCCACATATTGTCTATATATATTAGGGAATCGTAAGCACACTCAAAACAAAAACCTTGAACTTGAATGCGATAAATTGAGTAAGACGTTTTTAATACGATAATGAAGAGAATTTTCATACCAAAAAAACAAGGAATAAATGAAAAACCATGAGTCTTCCGCTCAGCACATGTGTAAAGTAATATTTTTATAAAGACTCCAATCGCTGTTCGAATCTTAACATCTGAATCGCTCAATCGGTTGAGTATAATTATGTTAGAGTCCTTTCTTTATAAGCTATAAAGTGTTTATTGTGAGCCAAGTGAACCAAGCCTACTTCGAGCCGAGTGCTCGCCATTTGAACGTATTTTTAGATGAAACCAACAAACTAAACATAACATTAATTAACTAAAGCGTAGCTTTAACATGCCCCGCACCAGATTGTGTCTTGCTTTTATTTCAAAGTCCTTGGATGACTTTTTCAAGCGAGCACTTATATAAAAAAAATAATGTTTCTGCGGGCAAGATAGACATAATTACACTTTCTGGGCCGTTTTACTTACTGCCCGCCCCCACCTACGAATGATTAGAGAGATGTGTAAGAAAGAATGCAAATAATAACAATGTAAATAATTAAATTGTGATATAGTATTTCTTAGCACAATTGTGATCTTAACAAGAACGGCTGGCAACTAAAAACAACAATTTTATAAGAGCGAATCCCCCTAAAAGAACCCAACTTTTTAAAATCAAAATAATGCCCCATAACGATTAAAACAGGCATATCTTCAACAGAATAGTGTTTCGTCAATTTTTTATTGACATCTTGGGTATTAAAAGTGAAAAAAGCGAAAAAATATTTAACGAATTTAAATTAGTTTAAAATTGAAATTCAAAGTCGATAAAATTTGTAGTATATACACGCGGTGGAGTGAAATGTATTTGAATGATTTGTAATAATTAGAACAGCCCCGAGCCGACAGCCAGAAGGATATATATTTTTGTGAGCCATTAGTGCGTAAGAAGGAGGGGGGGAGAGAAGCCTTTAAAAAGTGTGTCGAGTGTTTTGATAACCAGGCATAGATTTCGTATAGGTTTTCTACCAAGCCAAGTTTCCTATAATTCATAGATGTTTTTTTTCCCAACAAGCGTAGTCTCCAATATATATGACAATGTTGCCTATTAGCGTATATCTTTAGACTAAGCAACAATGATCACTGATCAGCAATGTCTCCAAGGTGGGAATAGCAGAGCCTGCAGATTACTATAGCATAGATTTCCTGTAACTTAGTTTTTCGCAATACTTCGCAATATTTACTTCCTTTTTTACAAACAGCATTTGCAATCAACATTTTACTTCTGACTTTTAAAGCTTTTAGAAAAGCCATATTAATTTGTATTTTACATGTTAACATTTTGAGATGCAAATTTTGTTTCAAACATTTCTCTTTTTTTTTTAACTTCAATTTGGATTATATTTTTTTAGTAAAAACAAAACAAAATCGTATAGTTTTACTTTTATTTTCGGAGCCAATTCTGGTTCTAGTCCTAGACAAATGCCTAACGAAATTAGCAATAGTATTCATCGATTTTAATTAGTTATTTGGTTGTCCTTATCCACAAAACGAAAATAAATTTCCTTAGCCATTTGTCTTGGGCATAAAAGCAACATCAAACTTATCCAACAAGCAATGAATATCAAACTTTGAACAAGAACACCGTTGTTCACACAGCTTGAAAGTGAAAAAAACACGAAATTAAATATTGTAAAATTTAGTTGTGAAAAAAAATCAAACACAAAAGCAAAGTAAAAAATATCAACTATCAAAGTAAATTGAAAAACGTCGATTAATGATTTTACAATACAATTTTTGTTCATCCCGATCAAATTTGCCCATTTTGTGATCAGTCATAAGCATAGCAATAATTAATTTTAAAAGAAAACTCTTAACGGGAGCGGACTGGATCGAAATCTATATCTTGCCAACATCCGGATGTCAGTCCGAGCTAAATTTTGCTATGCATTTCCACCATTGTATCCCAAAAAAATCTGAAAAAGTTACTGCAACACGTCCAAAAGAAAAATTAAGAGTGTCTATACACCAGAATACATTGTTAAAAAAAAAATTAAAAGTACTCACTCAAAAGGCAATTTTACGAAAATTTATTAAAAGTGATCAGAATTGAGTAAACTTATTCTTGTGTGCGCATCTCGTTGCATACGATATCAGAGAATTATGAATACAATTTGTAGAATTTAATGCCAAAACAACCAAATACGAAAAACAAAGTTAACTTTCCAATCAAGAACAATTGTAACGTAAAGATTATCAAATAACTTATTTGTGGCAATATATATATTTTCCCCCAAAATTCCGGCAATAAATTGATGTACCAAGTTTTAATGTCGCATTTTTATTGGGGGTTTCATCATAAAAATAAAAATGATTCCTGGAAAATTAAAATATTTACTTATTTTATCTAATTTAACTGTTTTATCGATAAATATCGCGTAAAATATTTATGGATGCATGTTATCGATTTCTTAGGGATGGAAGTGGGATCTGAAGACCGATAACTCCCAACTATCGATATTATCGATTATGTATTAACTCATCGGCATCATCATTGGAAAATTTTTATTGAATTAACTAATTTTATTTGTATCTGCGACGAAATGTCTCGCGAGATGCTATGCAAATTATGCGTTCAGAACCGGGCCGTTGAACTGGACCTGGAGGCATCTCGTTTGAAATCGGTCAACAAACTGATGCAACGTCTCTTCGAATGTTACAGTATCGATGTGAGTTTGGTGGGATTTGCTATTAATTTCCTGGATATATTTAACGTTTCTTTAAAAATATTCTAGATCACTTTAGTTGGCGACCGTCCCTGCATCTGCGACACTTGTTTCGGGGACCTTGCGCACCTCAACAATTCCCTGGAGAAATGGAGCAAGGCCCAGCGTGACCTGAAGGATGCACCTTTGGAAATAGACGACTCCCAGGTCTTTCAGGTCAAGCAGGAGCCCCCTTCCTCGGATGATGAAATGGACGAGGAATCAGAGACAAGTAACACAGAAATGGAAGTCCCTTCGAACTTAAGTGAGGCGCCACCAACCCAGCCCGAAAATCTGGAATCCTTGAATGATACTTCGAACAAAACTTTTGCGGCCGGAATCGGACGGGATGGTCTGGTTCTGGTCAAGTTGATAAAGGACCAGCGCAATAACAGCAAGATTTTATGCACTTGCTGCAACCAAATCTTTGACTTTCTTCACCAGGTGCGAATCCATACAACAATGCCCAGAAATAATCCTGAATACATGTGTCGTGAGTGTGGTGGGAAGTTCCCCAGTGCGGAAGCTTGCAGGGAGCATCATTCCACAGCTAAAGACCACTCTCTGCCACATACTGACTACAGGCTGCGCAGGGAAGTTGAGTTCTGGTCCTTTGCCCGTGAACAGAGGTTCCAGCGGTATTCAGACATCGTTAAAAACGAGTCAATCTTAACCCGTGCTCTGGCGGTAAAATGTGATAGGTCTCCGATGCACTCAAAGTTCCAAAGGTCCATCGAAGGCCGTGCTCTCGAGCCCCTTCCAGTACACAGGGGGCCCAGTGCATGCAAAAGGAAGTTCTCGGTTCGGCCGGAATGTGCAAAGCGAAGTCTTCACTCTGGGAAAATGCACGAACTTGGTAAAGGACTTGTATGTAAATTTCACGAAGAAGGAGAATTCATAAGTCTACCGATGGCACTGACCCTGCAGCCAGGCAAATATATAGCGCTAAATAGTAAGGTGAACTTGAATAATTCTCATAAGCATAAGAAAGTATAGAAATGTATTTATGTATGTATTAAGCAATTATAAGTGTAGGATTTAAAGAGAATAAATGTTAAATGTTTGTAGCTTGTACTACATTGCAATAAATATTGTTTTTAGGGTAATTATATTGTTTCCACAACCATACCATCCTGAGTTGTTTTGCTTCTATAATCATGTATGTATATAAACAAATTTTATAAATAATACCATCGGCAGGTTATCGATGGTTTTTCAACTATTATCGATAATTGAATAGAAAAAACGGAGTAGAAAATAGAAAAAACGAATACCCTCTATTATTATAGTGATTATTATAAGTGAATTTTATTAAGACTACTCACTTTTATGATAGAATTTCCTTTCTATCCTTTCTTTTTTAAGATATCGAATCTAAAAGCTAAATGAACTCGAACCAGTGACAGTGCTGCCAATACAAAGCTGAACGAACTATACCAAAAAGCTAAAAAGATATCTTCTTTCCGAAATAAATATTGTCTTTTAGTTGAATAAATCAAAATATTGTCTTTTAGTTAAATTTTTTATATCAAAATTACGATTTTTAGAATAATTAAAAAAAAAAAGCCAAAATAACCGGTTCCGGCCAAATCAGATGGTTTCCGTTTAGCGGCCGATAGAGTTGGTCGATTTTGAGGGAAAACAGCAAGGTTGGCAGCTCTGGTCAGAACGCAAAGTACAACAATTTTTTTCGTTCCGTGTGACGTGAAAAGTGCATATAATATCTGTTAAATATAGTTTTAGTCTAATTTATAAACCACATAAAAAACCATGGTATGTAGTCGTTGCAAGAACACATTTTGGGCATCCGAAAAAACGTGTTAAATTGTTACCAAAGTTTTTACCTGTGCGGGAGCCGCGCGTTATGTGAGTGTGTGCGTGTTAAAAAGAAAAAAAAGCCGCCGCGTCACAATACCAAATAGTGTTTCGATTTTCCCCCTTGCCATGTAATTGTCCTAATTACCATTCGATTTTTCTTCTGGTTCTTTGCATTATCCATCGAGCAGTCCTTTGCGGAAAAGATAACGGGATTGCTGGCAAGGCCGAATCAACAAGATCCCGTTGGACCGGAGCAGCCCTGGTACCTCAAATACGGCAGTCGGCTGCTGGGCATTGTCGCCGCCTTCTGTAAGTCCTTAGAGCCTAACTGGGCATAGCCCCAAGATCCTGGTCATGAGTGGGTGCAAAAATAGCGATAACAGCCGTGACATTGTGCGGCCCAAAAATATTTTGCATCGATTTTTGTGTACCACTTGTGTTGTTGCTGTTATCTATCGGGCAGGTGTTTGTGGGTGTGTGTACGCACGCTCTATGGCATTGATAAAGGAACAAGAGAAGATAGAGAGATAAAAAGGAAGAAAAGAGAGGGCGAAAACGGAAATAGAATAACAACATAATAGTCCAAAGGGAAATATAATTATATCTAATGATTTTTATTAAAATAAATATTAAAAATTAAAATTTATTCATTAAGATAAGAAAATAAAATCCTTAAACAATTTATTTATTTATTAATTTGTTTATTTTTAGTAATTATTTCGAGTGTATAAAATTTCTCTCTGTAGGGACACAAAACTTGGCCAAATGCCACAAAAAGGATACAGAAATTTTTACAAACCTACATATGTATGTATGTATGTATGTGTGTGTGTGTGTGTGTGGGCGCGTAAAAAAGCTTTTCTGTGTCAAGTTTGGCGCTCTGTGTGTGCCCTTTTTTGTTTCTCCTTCCGCTCCATATCATATCAATTTTCTTTGGGGGGGTCTCCGTCGCAATTCTCAATGCCTCTCCTTTTGTTTTTATCAACGCCCCCGTTCCACCCAATTCCGCATTCAGTTTTGCATCTATTTTCTGCTTCCTTCAAGTTTATTGCGTCTGAGATCGCGTTCTCTTTGTTTTGCATTCGCATTTAACCTCATCTGACCCTTGTTTCAATAATACAAACAAATATACTTACAGATGTACGATTTGTATTATTTATATTATCAATTTTAAACTTAAATTTGAATTCTTTGAATTATATTGTAAATGTTTTCAGCCTTATCTCTGTTTTTTTTTTAATGGGAATTCTACTGCTACTGTTTTCAGAAATAATAAATTATGACTTACAATATTTTTCTAAGCGATAAAACCGTATGAATGAAATCTATTTACAATTCCCATAAGCTTCTCATATAGTATTTCTTCGACAGTGATATGAATTATATTATTTCCATGGTTTTTTTTTTTTATTTCCCTTAGAAAATTGACAAAATCTTGCAATTGTTACCCCACAAATAAACACCATCCACTTGAAATCAATATAAATAGCAGCCGCCTGGCTGAATACCTCAATTAAGGGAACACACACAACTCACTCGTGAGGCTTCCACAATAAACCGGCTGTATTTCGTTAGGGGGAAAATAAAACCGAAAAGATTGTGATTAATAAATAATTTTATTGCCGGTCGCCAGAGCACACTCGACTTCTTCTTCCCCAAGATGGGTCATCTGAACCGCAATAGCCTCAAAGCCGAGATCCGATTTCGAAAAAGAAGAAAAGTAAAAAAAAAACAGGAATTTTTTCATAAAAAAGTTATATATCCTATCTATATAGTGATATTTCGTAATCACACTTCTTAGTCCATTTTATCCAATTATCGTGTATACTCATATATTTATCTTTTGAATTAGTCTTGCTATCTTTGGGTCTATGCTGTTATCAGAGCTTCAAAAAGCTGATAAAATATTTTAATGTAATTTACTTAAACGCCCCTTGCGTCAGAAAGTGACTAGAATTTAGAGCACTTTTCATGAATGTCGTCTGGTAACAATTTACCCAACTGTTTCTGCCCCTACTTGTCATGCTTCTGTGGCTGGCTTTGTTGTTAATTTATGAATAAAAGAGATCCGAGCAAATAAAAAGCGAAAAGTGGCACTCACATGAGTCACATTCGAGTTGATTAGATTTTTCATTCGCTCTCTAATGTGTTTTGTTAAAAAAAATAATTATAGATTAAAAATTTTTTAGAGGGCGTAATCTTAGAGATATGAAAGTCCGGGCACTAATTTAATTTCAATTAAAAAACATAATAATTAATCTTTTCTTCCCATAGTTGCTATCCTCTTTGGACTGTGGAACGTCATCTCCATATTAACGCTCAATGTGGGCTGCCTGGTGGCGGGAATCATACAAATGGTGGCAGGATTTGTGGTGATGCTCCTGGAGGCGCCTTGCTGCTTCGTCTGCATCGACAAGGTGAACGACATTGCGGACAAGGTGGACTCCAAGCCCATGTACTTCCGGGCCGGCCTCTACTGCGCGTGAGTAGCCCACTTAGATACCCTTTCTTAGCTTATCTGTTAATCCATGTTTTAAATATTTTAGAATGGCCGTGCCTCCCATCTTCATGTGCTTCGGACTGGCCAGCTTATTTGGTAGTGGCCTGATTTTCGCCACTGGCGTGATATACGGAATGATGGCGTTAGGCAAAAAGTAAGTATGGGAACCCGTTTGGCAGCGTTTCTGTAACGATATGCCAAGCGTGGAGCGTGCGGAGAAGAAAGCGACCTTAGTTAGCTGCTCATCTAAGCCTATTTTGCTAATCGAAACCAAATGTTTTCTCTATATTCCCACAATGTGCTTGCCACTGTGAAAATGCTTAACCAAAAAACCCAAAATACGACAAAAAAATAATTGTTAAATGTAGAGCTTCGCGCGAGGACATGGCCGCCGCTGCCACATCGCCCACACAGATGGCCGGCAGTCAGGCGGGCGGGCAGATGCAGATGGGCGGCGATCAGCATATCACACTTATGGAAGATCCGGACGTTTGGCGTCCCACATAAATTCCTTGCCGCGCGATTAGAAACTGCCAACTCTTACACATCAGACACACACACACCAGACACACTCAACAACTAGCAATGCAAATGATGCGACAATTGATCGACTAACAAATATTTTACGGCGCATAATTTTTAGTGTTCAGTTCAAAAAGATGAAAAAAAAATTATGAAAATCAGCGTAGTAGGGCATCAGAGCAATAGAATACAGAACACCCCACCAATTACAAAGAAAATGAAACGAAATTCTCATAATTGTTGAACCAGAAAGTGTTAATAGTCAGTGTTTTTTGGGCAAATGCATTTTGTTCATTGGCCCCCTATTTTGCATGTCATTCGTATTCCATTTTAAAATGTCTTTCGTCAAGCGGTTGGTGTTGTTTAAACCTACAGTTAAATATATATATATATATTATAAATAGAGAAGATACTGATATAGTTACACAAGTCGTACACACGTCAAGCTGCAGCAAGCATATATTTTTACCGAGAAAATATATATTTGAAAGGTGTCCGAAAAAGAAACCTAGATGAGAACCTCAAAGCTTCCACAGACCTACACTCACAGCTAAACTGCGGCCATCACACAAAGGATTAATGAAAATTATTACAAATAATGAACCTAGAGCAATATGTACAACTCAGAAGTATTAACTTTATATGCTTTGCTTCACTGTAAACCATACGATTAAATGTTGAACGTTGTTTGGGAATTATTTTATGCTCTCGAGATAGGCACAAATTGAAATTGAACAAAATCAAGCATTATTCAAATAGATATGATGAACTAAACAAGTTGAGAATTTATACATTTTTTTTTGGAGAACAAATTATTGAAATTTTCAGTTAAAGCATTATTATTTATATTGATAGGTTTCTTTTTCGGGTTTTCTATTTATTTTATACTATAAGTTATTCATAAGTAATTTATTCCAAATTCTGTTTCTTATTAAGAACATTCCAATATTTATTTATTTTATTATTAGTATTAAGTCTAAATTATTTTCAAAATACTCGCAAAAACTTGTTAAAATATAGTATCTAGAAAGTGCGAATCTCACCCTCAGGTGAGGCAAGAACATAACTCAATAAATTTGTTAAAATTCGTTAAATAATGAACGCAACACTAGAAATCGTATCATGTAAAATATTCTGTTTACAATTGAATGCGCATAAATCAAACAAGACTTGAATAAGCCACATGAAAACTGTCCAAAACCAAACCTCTTAGAGCCAAAAAACACCACAGTCGGCCAACAGCGAGATACAATGACTTTGCTTCGTCCAAGAGAACACCAAGGCAAATAATTTTTGAGCTATATTACTATATATATTTTTAACTTAGTTGCGATCTACACATTACTGTATTATTTTTTGTAGATATCTACTTGTATTTAGAATTTTAAAAACTTAAAGTAGTTCAAGACCGACTAGTTTTAGTTCTTATTAGAATTTTTATTTGGCATTTTGTTCAATATATATACTATATATTCATAATACTATCTGTAGATCTGATAATTTTCACAAAACTTTTTTGTTTAGAATCCCTATATTTTTTTGAATCAATTGTGATATTGTATGGAACCCCTGCTATGTAGGCACACAGTTATTAGCTGAGCACATTTTACTCTATTATATATTATTTCTATTCCTATTTATAAAAATTCGTATATAAAAATATCTAATATCTGGTCATCCTTCTTTAACAGGGCATCCGCGGAGGACATGCGGGCAGCAGCTCAACAGTCCTACGCTGGCAACGCGACTCCTCAGACCACCAACGATCGAGCCGGCATTGTGAATAACGCGCAGCCCTTCTCCTTCACCGGCGCCGTGGGCACGGATAGCAATGTGTGATCCGGAACATGATCGGGACGTCGAAGAACGGAAAGCTGGGTGTGCCGTGAGAAAACAAGACTCAAATCGCAACATTTGAAAGGCAAACCTATCCAAGAGACCTTCAGCAGGCAGTCTAACATAATCATGTGCAATTTCCAATTGTTTATTAACGAATGCAATAGAATTATGAATTATGAATGTTTTTTAACCTCCATAAGCTCTGATCTCTCTATAGAGCAGTCCAAATCAATTATTTAAATGCCCTCTTTTCAAAAAAGTATAAAGTGCAAGTATTTTTGTGTATATTGATGTATTTGTTGCTTAAACAAAAAAAAAATGTATTGCGTATTCTGTGTCCTATTAATTGAGTTGCCTGTGTCCGATCATTCCAAATTATTTGGTTTTAACCTAGTAGAAATTGCAAATAAATTATTAAACGACATCACTCGCGAGGTGAAAAAAAATCTAAAAAATCATGTAAAATTTATGTTTAGTCATAGTTTAAATATACCTTAAATATATTTAAATGCATAATACTAAAATGTTTAAATTAATGCAAAATAAAACTATAAATATTGTATGTAAACCATATTAAAATTGAATTATACATACTTTAAATTATGTTAATAAAAATTAATTATACGAAAAAGTTAAAGTGGCTTTGGTGGGTGAGTTGGGGTTTTTGCGGGAGTTTTGGGAGTAAAAACAAGTGCCATATATTGTAACTAATTTAATTTAAAAAACTTTTCAACATGGATAAAATAAATGATTATAAAAACAATTAATGAACGTTGGAAACAGAATGTTTAAGATTCGTCAGAGTCGCTCTCATCAGAGTCGTTTTCCAAGTCTTCCCAGGATTTGCCGTCAATGGGCTCGTACCACTCGGAGACCAAGTAGTAGCTGCCATCCTCGTCGGATCCGCTGCCCTCGGATACATCATCCTCGTCGGAACCGCTGTCCTGATCGTCATCCTCTTCTACATCATCAGCCTGCTCCAAGTACTTGGGCGCCTCATCGGACTCTTGCTCCGAGGAATCCCAGCGGTACCGACGATCGCTGATCACATCCTGGTCGTCAATGGCAGCGGAGGAGACATTGGCCACCAACATCAGGGCCAGGACACCTATCCAGAAGAATTTCCACTCAATTAAAAAATCCTTATTTTTGTTTAATTTTTAAACTCACCGAACACCAGGAAGAAAACTTTGTTGGACTGCATATTTAGTGATTGAATGATGCTTGAGATGCTTTCGATGCTGAGTGAACTTTCACCACCAGCTTTTATACCAAAATTTTTTGGCAAAGGCCTTGCCAATTGTTTAACCTATTAGCTTGAATTCGGCCAACACAAAATGATCAGAATTCCCTGCCCTAGAATTCTGAATTAAACCAACTAGGAAAATATTTACTTAACTGCGAATGCGAATATCGAGTGGGCCAAGGTCAATGGTTTTGCTAGATATTCTAAAAAAATGGTTATAACTTCATGTTTACTTAGATGTTTTGTTAAAATAGTTACTGTTTATACAAGAGTGGGTTTTTATTGTCTGTGTAACACTTTTAAAAAGTTCAAAAATGTTTCTGAAAAAAAGATGATCCTAGCATTCAGTTTCATAATCTTAAAAAAAACCATTGTGTTTGTTCACTACTTTTCAGCAATATGTGTCATATTTTTTATAAATTTCATTAAACTAAAACGTAGATAAATTTAGATACAACTTTATAGTCCCAAGAAAAACAACAACATAAAATAATTATTTGAAATCCTGGATATATAATGCATATTTTATAGTTTTTATTGCTAATATTCGCCCGAAAATGGTTTCATATTCCTACAATTTAAATAAAAAAACGGATTTTCCGAGAAACCCTAATCGATATTTATATATGTATACAACCTTTGGACCCATATAATGAGTTAAATTTAACTTTAAAAAAATATAATTTAATAGATTTGTAATTATATCATCAAATATTTAACCAAATATTAAAATCTAAATATAATAATGGCCAAAAAGTATGCTACACGCCCAAGTAAAAGTATTTGATATGTATACTTACATTTTACATTACAACCACAAGGTAGATTTGTTTTTTGATTCTACAACTTAGAAGGCCATGATTTTAAAGACATTTTTTCCCCCTTTCTAAATCTAGAAAATCAAATGTGTTTATAAATTTATTTTATAAATCCTGTTTTACATAATCTTCTCAATTCAGTTCTTCGCAGGCATCAATCCAATCGTTGAAAACATCAATCGGTTCTGTTAAGAAATTCACGGACGTTTGGTAGAATTCTTGGCATATGTTGCACTGGACTCTTCCAATTAACTTGCTCTTGTCCCTGAAATATTTATTCTTAGGCGAATGTTTCTTAAAGCTATTGATAAAACATTATACTTACATTACGACTTCACAAGCCTGTTTGTGGTTGCAGAAAGGACAATCGAAAACTTTCGTCAGCGGCTGAATGTTCTTTTGTTTTGGTGGAGGCTTGCGTTTTGACTTACGGCGACCCATTTCTAATTATCATTATCAAAAATTGTATTATTTAATAAAAAAAAGGTTTATATATCTTACTATTCAAGCTTAATACGATGTTAACGGCGCAGAAAAATTCCTTGAACTGAAAATGACGTCAAAACGTCAGAAGTTATACCCTATTTTTTCCTGCGGAGAAAAGCTAACTTGATTTGAAAAAAAGTTAAATAAAATATACCAAGGGATTTTTCTATTAGTATTTGTAATCGATAGTATTTGTAATCAATTTAGAAATCAATTTTCTATAAATCAAGGCCTTCTTTGATTTTAATTCCTTTCAATAAATCAAAAGACCTGACTATTTTGTGGAGAACCTAAAATTTCAATGATTTTTATTTTTGGTTTCCGTATCACTAATTTTGAAGTTGATATTGATACCTTTTGATGGAGAGAGGATCCCCGATTGATTGAGCCCACATAAGTAAATTGCGCATCTGTCTAGACATCCTTTTTAATGAAGTACCCTGGGTTTTTTCTTTTGACAGGACTCAATGTAGCAGAAAATCCTTTTGTCGTTGCCTTTGTGTCTTCCAAATCGATCGTAAGTCTGCCTTTGGGGCAAGGTATCGATTACGCAATTTGATAGAAGATCTTGCATAGCTGGAAGATGTGGGTCAAGTGTTTGCCTAGAAGAGGATCTTAAAAGGACTTCGAGGTAGACGTTCCCTAACCCATGGAAACGCTTTAAAGGTGCCGAATTTTCTCTGGCTAAAGCGCCGCAGGACAAAAATTCTGCGATGACAGCTCAATTTCTAAAGTGTGAAGGAATTTTTCGGCTCGCAGCATGAATTTGGAATGGTCCGGTTTTCGGGCTGCCTGCTGTTTAACATATTAGCACCAGGACATCAAAGGACAGCTGAAAGTGTCAACAGTTTTTAGCAAACCCTGTCGGCGGGTTGTGATCTGAAAATTTGGTGCCCAAAGCCAGCATGAAATTTGTACTAAGAGTGGCAGCAGGATGCCTCACAGCAGGATGCCCAGCTGTTTTTTGGGAATATTTTCGGGATAACATTCGGCATGCTTTTTTTGGCCCATAATTTCGATCATTTTTTCGCCAAATGGGATTAAATTTAGATTTTTTTTTAAATCGAGAAGAGAGCGAGGCCTTAAGACTTTGCTTCCGTTTTTCTTATCCACATCCTTGCTTATGGCCCGTTTATTGTTGTCCGTATCGGCTGCTCCTTTTTTCCGGGCTAATCTCCTCCAGCTGCCGCTCACCGTTTGCCTTTTGTGGCTTGACCATTTTGCTTTTGTTCGGTTGCAACTTCAATGGCCCGGCCGACTCGCCTCCCCAGCTCCTCGTGTCCTTTGTCCTTTTTGTCCGTTCATTTGCTTAAACGCATCTTATCCTGTTAAAATGTGCGCCCCTGCTTTCCGTTTCGCTGGAAAATTGATCTTTTTTGCAAATTTCCTTCTCGGCTCCTGGTCTTCGGGCTCTTTTGTGAGCATCCTCTTGAGTGCTCACTAATTGAGATTTTCCTCCTTTTTCCATTATTTCCCATTTTCAAGTAATGCAATACACCAGTTCCGCTTTCAAGTCCGATGACAATAGTTATTTTTCGGAATTTTTACTTTGGAAATAATCACGTATTGTAGGGAGCGGTATTACTTGCGGAAAGCTGATCCGTAGAAAATTTTTATTTTTGGAAAAACAAGTATGTTGCCTTGAACAAAAATATCTTCTATCTATCTAAAAATAAATAGTATGTAGAACCCATTCATGTTTGGTACTAAATTGATAAAAAAAATAAATAGTATTCATTACAAGACCAATTGAAACCCCATTAAAATAATAATCAACCAACTCATTCAAAAATCATTCCACACCTGGGCGAATCGCCAACAAAGCGTGTTCTATTCACCAGAAATTAAAAATTAAAAGTATCTGAAATGGCCTATAAAAGTTCCTTTCGGCCAATTAGATGTTTTAAATGCCATAAAATTATTATTATTTTGTTTGGTGACTTTTCAAACATGCCTTCCCGTCCCCTACCCCCTTGGACAGCGTTTTTAAATCCGAATCCAATTCAAATTCCATTTCCATGTTCGCGGCGCACGCAGCGCATTCATAACCCTTGGACAGCGTTTTTAAATCCGAATCCAATTCAAATTCCATTTCCATGTTCGCGGCGCACGCAGCGCATTCATAACCATATTTCATCAAAAATTCAAAGCGTCTCCCCTCGAAAAACATGATTATTAATTAAAATTCCCAAATCAAAATCATATTACGAGTAAAACACAATAAAAAAAAGAGGAACATGAATAAATCCCCACCAACCGAAATAAATATATAGGTTTTTTTAGGACTGGTTCGAAGTTGGGGAGCGTTGGCAGCCTGTCGCCATCGGCTTCCGTCGCCCGATTTCTAGGAATGTGCTCGGAAAATGCATATATTATAATCAAATTAAATTATGCATAATTTCCCTGTTTTCCTCTTTGTCTTCTGATTTTGTAGCTTGCATTTAAACAAAAGTAGAATAGGGAAATCGAGAACCAGACCCATAAAACTGTCATAAGGCGCTGCCGATTAAATGGGAAGGAGGCGGCCTCAAGGAAGAACGTGTTCTCTGGAGGACACATGTTTTTGGGGACATAGTCAAGAGTACAATATAAATATGATTTTTGGGATGGCTACACTAAAAAAAAATGTAGCTAGACTTGTGTAACAACCAAGTACTTTATTTCAAGCCTTTATCTCAGGCATTTCAAACCATAAACCTGGCAACAATAATTTCTAATCACAATTTCCATATCTAACTGGCAGTGTAATAAAATTTCCATAAATTCAAAATGTTTTTGTGCTCAATTAGCGTATAACATTGTCATAACCTTCCGCCAGGCGCCCGGGCCTCAGGCCTGGATCCAACAAGACCCACACAAACCCAATACCCAAAACCGAGTCCCTATTTTTAACCCCATACCTCCAAAATTCATCCCCCGTGCATCCTCCAATCAACAGGTAAAAACTGATTTGATATGCGGCCGGAGGAGGACCGTGCCAGAGTCGGAGCCGGGATAATGCTCATTTCCATTCGGTTTCGCTGGAAAATTATGTCTGACGCAAAGTGCCTGGGGCATAGTTTTCCCCATTTTCCATATTTACCTTCAGTAGATGCGCGTGGCGCGATTTAAATTATGATGACGCCAAGGCGCCTCCTCCTCGACCTGTTGGTGGGCCTTCCATCCTGTTTCCACTTGGCATTTAAATACACTTGGGGAAAATGTTACAGGTCTTGATTTTTATATTAAATTATGTACTGAAATATGAGGGAGTGAATACATTTTTTTAATAAATATAACAATTTTACCCTTAAGAGTTTTTAGTAATCATTTCCAAACTGAAAGTCATAAGTTTTTTTTCTTAAAACAGGAAAGGATAACAAGGCTGTGCGGCGCTTCCACGAAACTATAAATTTTCCAGCTCATGATTACGCCAAAAGAAATATTAATTGGGCAGGAGCTGCAGCAGGAGCAGCTGCCGCCGCCTAATCTTATCAAATATTTGACAATAACCCAATTAGTAACCACCTACAGGAGGATCGGTGCAGCCAGCAAAGGACATCCGAACGAAAAACAAACATTGCGCAAAAAAGGAGACCTTTTTCTACCTTTTTTTTCGAGAAATGCTACCAGGGAAGCTGACAGAGAATAAGACATCAGAGAGGACAACGCAGACGCAGCTGCAAAAGACGCAGGACAATGATGTCAAGTCGAAGTCAAAAGATGCTCGCGTCAACCATAAAACTAGCCGCCTCGGCCAGAGATAAGGCCAAAAGGACCGCCCCTGGCGGGGTTATCCTGCCAGGCATCCTGGCCGACGCACACACAGCCAGAGCCTCTAATTTGTGAAACTTGCCTACAGTTTAGAAAACGCACCGGGTAGTCCAACTGACAAAAGGCCCAAGATTCCTTCTTGCCGTGACATTTGAGATTTTGCAGTCGATGATTTTCAATGCTGGACATTGTCATCTTCGAATTCTATAGATTCCCGATCCGTGTCGTGTGGATGGATGGAAAAAGCGCAATTGAAAAGCCACAAAGGGATCCGAAAATTTGCCATAATCATGACATTTTGTTCGCCCGCCTCTTTGTCTTTCTCTGAATTCTTCTGGGTAGAGGATCTTTTCTTTACTTTACGATATAATCGTTGTAATGTTGCGTCTTTATTGGAGTTTGCGACGATATCGAAGAATGCATAGACGACAGTAGATGATGACTTTGTTGTTGATATTGTTTGGGGGACTGTCCTTTTGATGTCTTTTTTAGGAATAAATTGTAAGAGAATGTATTATTTCTTAAAAATGACAGTAATCTTTAATCCTCTCTTTGTGGCTGTTGTAAAGTCTGAATATTTTCTGTAAGAATATTTAGTATAAATCCAACAAATAGTAAAAAGAAGGGAAAGCTTACTTCGGTACGTCGGTAAAATTATTTAAGGTACTCCGCTTGAGAATCGGATGATAATTGGGGAAGATATAGCTTTCTCTGTGGAGCCTATAGGGGAAAACCCCATTTTCAAGGGATCCCATCAGAAAAATGGACAAAAAACCTAAAAAATATTTTGTCTCAGGATTTTGATGCAGAATGGTGCAGAATCGATCTAGAAATCGTTTAAGGTACTCCGCTTGAGAATCGGATGAGAATTGGGGAAGATATAGCTTTCTCTGTGGAGCCTATAGGGGAAAACCACATTTTCAAGGGATCCCATCAGAAAAATGGACAAAAAACCTAAAAAATATTTTGTCTCAGGATTTTGATGCAGAATGGTGCAGAATCGATCTAGAAATCGTTTAAGGTGCTCCGCTTGAGAATCGGATGAGAATTGGGGAAGATATAGCCATCACTGTGGACCCTATAGGGAAAAACCCCATTTTCAAGGGATCCCATCAGAAAAATGGACAAAAAACCTAAAAAATATTTTGTCTCAGGATTTTGATGCAGAATGGTGCAGAATCGATCTAGAAATCGTTTAAGGTACTCCGCTTGAGAATCGGATGAGAATTGGGGAAGATATAGCCATCACTGTGGACCCTATAGGGGAAAACCTCATTTTCAAGGGATCCCATCAGAAAAATGGATAAAAAATCTGAAAAATATTTTGTCTCAGGATTTTGATGCAGAATGGTGCAGAAT